ATGTATCCCTCCATCTCATCTCCACATTTCTTGCGAATGTAGGGGTCCACGCCAGCCCAGATGTCCTTGATCACCCCCTCCACCCGGTCGGCCTCGGCCTGGGCCAGCACCCCATCCGGGTCGCAAATGTTGCTGGCAACCCGTCTGCCACACTTGCCTATGTCGACTTTGGGATTGGGAAAGGTGGATGGGGTCCATTCGGCGCCAGCATGGACGCCCAAAACCAGCAGCACGACCAAAAAGGTGCAGCCTCGCATATGGATGTCCCGGTGCGCCCAGGCCCCAGGGCTTGAGAGAGGCTTACGAGTTGTTGAAAATTCCCTGCTACCACCTTACTAGGTGGATTTAAATGTATTTACCTGCGCTATGCCCGCGGTAGAATGAGTAGGGTGTCGGACCGACACGCAGTGCAATCGAGGGGAAGCTGTAAGGGGGGTCGAGATCCATCTCAACGCGCTCTGGGGGTTTGCTTGTGGGGTGTTCCAAGGCAGCTACCTTTACACACAAAATTACAAGCTGTGACAGCCTGGTGTTCTCAAGCAACTCTCTATACCACTGAGTCCTCAATGGCCTCGCTGGCCATCCTATGCGGGTGCGGCCTCCAGGACTCCCTTGTGCCCATCAGATTTGAGGGCGTCCGTGTTGCCCACCGGCAGCCCCTTCCCTGCCGCATACTCCGTCAGACGCTTGAACCACTGTGTGAGCAGCTTCCCGCTGTCACGCAGGGTCCGCTTCTGGCTGCCGTCATTGTCCCAGTTGTATATGCCAAACTGAGGGGCGGGGCATGAGATGAGGAGTGGAGGGCATTGAGGAGGCCACCGAGAATACTGCTACCACCAGGTTGATGGGAGTTGCTGGAAACTGCAGGGTTTCAGGTTCCTGACAAGACCACAACGTGAACGCCAGGGCGACACATTCAGCTGTCCCACACCTTCATCTTGAAGCCCATCTGCCACTCAAAGTTGTCGATCAGGGACCAGTAGAGCACACCACGCACGTCGCACCCTTCCTCCATAGCTTCGGCCACCTGCACAGTCCAGGGTCAGGCATGGCATTGGTGGGACGGGTAAGGGTCTGGGGCTCTAAAACGGGCAGCACTGTTCCCTGCATGCCCAAACATCACCAGAGATTCCCCATTCCCCCAGCTGCCCACCCAGCTCAGACCTTGGGCATGTAACCCTCGATCAGCTTGCGTCGCATGTCGTCGCCGCTGTCCGCCACCCCGAGCTCCGTGATGTAGATGGGTACATCCAGGCGGTTGATGGAGTGCAGCGCCTTCTTCAGGCCGTCGGGATGGAGGGCATACGGCATGTCGGTCATGGTTTCACCCGGCTGGCACGACGGCATCAGCTTCCAGTCGATAACGCCCCTGTTAGCAAAGGGTTTGACACATTGGTGCACGGCAGAGGTAAAAAGGTATAGTTGTTGGAAGAGGCTGCAGCATGCACACCCAGCCGGCGCAGGCACAATCTCATTGATACTCAGTTTGGGTACGGATGCAATAAGCAGAAAGGGTGCAATACTCCTGAAGCACCAGCCCTTGGAGTGGCTCTCATTCGCTCTGTGAATTCTCAGCGCTGCCACCCGCCTGCACCTGCTGTAGTAGTTGAGACCGAAGAAGTCGCACCCTGGCCTGCCGGTGGGGTTCTGGTAGTAGACCCCAGGAACAAACCTGTGTAGGGTGGACGAGGGTAGTCAAACCATGGTGCGAGTGCTGGCAGCAGGGCACCCATGGCTCTTGAGCGGACATGGCAGGGCACACTATGGAGCAACAGTGTACGCCTGCACCCAGCCCAGTTCATAGTGGCATGGAATGGCAATCGATGTCCTTGAGGCCACATCCCAACACAGCAACCCTCCACCCTTAAAGCTCACCAGCTGGCCTTGGACTCGAATCTCCCTGTGCGCAGATACTCTAGCACGGTATCGTTGCCCCACATGAGGTTGAGGAACTTGCAGATGGTGCGGACATAGCTGGGCACCCACCACGCCTGCTTGGGCTCGAACCAGAAGAAATTGTGCACGATGCCCACCAGCACCGCATCGCCGCCGGGCATGGCCTTGATGGCTTCGTAGGCACGGGTGTGGGCCTGCAGCATGTGAAGCAGGTGGCGGGCCGTCCCCGCGATGCGCAGGATCTTGCCGGGGGGGAAGGTGCCGCTCATCAGACCGGCGAAGCTGGCGATGCCGGGCTCGTTGAAGGTGCTCCAGTACTTGATGCGGGAGCCAAACAGCCTGGGCCAATTTCGGTGGTGATCAGGATGTATTCTGGAAGAAACGAGCTTTAGCGTGCGTAGGGATCTTAAACTGGTTTGATACTATCAGCATCGCACCAAACCCTCAGATGCAAGCGGTGCATGAATCAAGTCTTGTCAGGCAGCTCGCTCTTCATCTATTGAGGCATGCGACATGGGTCTCCCTCCACCCTGGAGGTCAGACACCCACGCCATACAGAGCTCCCAAGCAATCACCTGAAAGTCAGCTTGGCATAGTCCACAAAGAAGGCAATGTTCTCCTCCTTTTGGAAGCCGCCCAGGTGCTCAAACCAGATGGGATGGACGAAGTGGTGCAGGGACACAAAGGGGACGATCTTGTGCCTGAGCGTGGTGTAGAGGGCGTGCGACAGGCAGCGTGGCATGTTGTTCCTAAGGCCGCCGTCCATGCCCGGCCATGGGACCCTCAACCACACCGAGGCTCGTTCTCCCCCCGCCCAGCAGCTCTCACCGCTCCAGGCTGTCGATGATATCATGGTAGCGCTGCACAGCTGCGGAATCGATCTCCCCCTTCTCCGGCTCGATGCGGCTCCACTCCAGGGAGATGCGGAAGCAATTCGCACCCAGGCTAGCGGCTCGCTCGATGTCGGCATCGAACAGCTCCCAGAAATTGCAGGACTCCCCACACTGCTGATTGCCCTGGATGGTGTGGCCCCCATACCAGGTCCTCGACCGCCCAAACTCGCCCCAGCTGCTGTGGTCATGGCCCGAGGACTGGTACACGGACATGGAGAAGCCGACGTAGAATGGATCGTCTGTGCCATGGCGCAGCAAATCCTTGGGCACATGAGCATCAGGTTTCATGTTGGAGACTCTGATGGGAGTTTCAGATCGCTTGAATGCGGTGCGGGTTTGGAGGCCGTTTTTGTAATGGATTTCTGACCCTAGGCCGGCTAGATTCCTCCTACGAGGCCCGTCCCCAAATGTAAGGCAATCAAAGCAATATGTGCAGTATACAGTGAACCGAATGAAGTTGTAACGCCAATCACTTCAGATCATTACTGTATACTACTACACTACCTTGTATGTAAGCATGAGCACTTCTATGCATGTCTCACTTATGCACCGCCTGATTCCAAACTTACAGAGCTGTACACTTGGCGATGATCCTGTGAAACTGTCCTGACTTCAAGACAACTTCACTCCCTATGAAATTTATGAGCTCAGACACAATTTCCACAGACCGGGACCAGCACAGCACACCGGAATGGCTGGATATGACCCAGTTGGTTCAGACGCGCACAGTGACATTCCTTTGCATGCTGATTAATAAGCCATACGTATTCCGGCATTGGTACCTTTTAGCAATGAGCATGCGCTTACTCATGGGAATCCCAGCCTTCCGTTGAGGGATCTCGAGGGGGCAGGTGCCTGGCGTCCCGTTGCCCGCTATGGCGCGTTCCAAGGATTGCAAAACCGCATGTCGTCACAGATTCAACAATGACACGGATGGCCCGGTGAAGTTCCTCTGGATAGACTACGACGGGCAGGAGCATGCGTACGCCACGGTGTTCCCCGGCCAGAGCCACATCCAAGGTGGCCTGGTCTGTCCTGGGGGATTGTGTGCAAGGCTGAGCATTGTTCCCATCCCAGAGGCAGGCTCAAACTCAGCCTCATGACGCCCTACTCCCACCGGTTGCCCTTGCAACCAGACACCTACACCAGCCACCCCTGGCGCGCGCGGGTGGCAGACACGGGCGCGGAGATTGGGGAGTATGTGGGCCCAGGCGCCACGCTGACGGTCCTCCCCGGCGCCCGACTGCGCGTGGAGCCCGGGCTGCAGCCCCGCAGGCCCCCCGACATGCACGTCGCACCCTGGGGCTGGTACCGCCAGCGCGGGCGCTGCGCCCGGGGCCACCCGATCTACGCCTTCGACTGCGTGCCCGACGCGGCGGTGCGCCTCGCCGCCTTCACCATGGACTGCATGACTGCGCACCTCCCCGCGCCGGCGGTGTCGCGCATGCACGGCTGGGGCGCCTTCCTGGCGATCATCGGACGGGGGCAGGTGACCACCGACATCCCGCAGTACGCGCAGTACCGCGGCCAGGACAGTGGCAACGGCGGCGGGCGGGTGGAGACGGCGACGCGCGGGCTGGGGGGGGGCACCAGCAACCCCGTGTCCTCGGTGGGGGAGGAGAACCTGACCATGGAGGACGACGTGCACTACGGCTGCGAGAGCATCCTCATCCACGAGTGGGCCCATGCGGTCATGGACCTGGGGTATGCGGAGCAGCCCCTCCAGGTGTGTTGTAAGATGGGGGGGGGGGGGTGGTCAGGGGGGATGCTGTGGAGGGAGGCATGGGACAGGAAAGGTGGGGGCCCTTCCTCGGAGGGCATTTGAGGTGCTAGGCCTGGCAAGAAATGACTCCCGAGCGAAACACGATCCTGGGCCGTGCTCTTGTACGACGCCTAGACTCACACCATGTCAAACGATGCTTAGCCCGTTACCTCCCTGCCCTGTCCCAATGCACCGGGCCGCAGGCAGAGATCGTGGAGTGCTGGAAGGCGGCGGAGAAGCGTGGCACGTATGTCAAAGGCAGCTACATCATCTCCAACCCGGGGGAGTACTGGGTGAGTTGAGCGTGGGGAGGAGGGCCTTGCGGGGTCGCGACATCGAGTTCACACCAGGGCCAGGCCGTCGTGGATGGGCCCTTGAGGAAGCATGCTTTGTCTTCCCAGTCTGATACCACTCCGTTTCCAGCAACCCCCCTGTGCTCGGACCCCCACCCAACCAAAGGCCGAGGCCTCCCAGGCCTGGTTTGAGGCCACGATGCGCGACGACGTGACCAGCGGCCTCAAAACGCGCGACGCAGTGAAGCGCGCGGACCCATGGCTGGCCTCCCTGCTGACCAGGGTCTACGGCGACGGGCCCTGGCGCTACTGGCACACCTGCCCCCGGCCCTTCACGGGGGACGAGGCGCGGTGGCAGGCCGGCAGGGCCCTGGGCGGGCGCACCGTCCCGCCCGTGGCCCCCTACCAGGCGGTGGGTGGCGCGGAGCTGGGGTGGCCGGCGCAGGCGGGCCCGCCGCAGCCGACGGGCCCCACGCCGAGGCCGGACCAGCGGCGCAGGCGGAGGCGGAGCGCGTCCAAGTGGGTGGAGGAGGTGACCGAGACCCTGGCCGGCATGTTGAAGAAATTGTGAGGCCGCTTCAGTGGCAACCGTGATTTGTATATGACATTTTATGATGACTTATTGATGCCTTGTTCCTTGAAGTGCACCGTTGATCCTTTGTGATAGGAACAATATGTACCCAGTCATACTGCTCAGGCCAACATGTGATGCATACCCCGCGCGGGGGGACGGCCGTGGGCGACGGACTCTCTCCACGAAAAGCACTTGGACGCCTTGATCTGATACATCACTGAAACAATATGAAGAACAACCATATGGAAATGTATTGTCCCTGAGGCTCCGAGGATAGGGCACCATGGCATTGGCCATGCTCTCGGTGCCCTCGGCAGGGCCGTACCCACGACGATGCCCCGTCGTGGAGCCTTCCTCGTCCCTTCGAGAACCTTCAACAATCAATCATGCACCCAAGGTCCCCAGAGTAAAGCTAAATTCACGATGCGCCCCTGCGGCGCCCCTCCACGGGGCTGGATGCCGACGGCACCTCGATCTGCGAGCCCTGCCCGGCGGGGGGGCCGGTGGGCGCGGTGCTCCCCCCGTCGATGGATCTGGTGGGGATGGCGAGTCTGATGAGGAGCCAGAGGGCGATGGAGGCAGCGAGAAACCTTGGGCCTGGCTCATCTCTGGAGTGGCCCTCTCGGTGGGCCTGGCCTGGGCCATCAAGCGGCGTCTGAGCAGGCCCACTGGCGTCCAGGCCCTGGATACGTAAGCCTGGGACTGGGACTGGAAGGAGAGGTGTGTGATCATACCAGTGCAGCAGTTACTGGCCGTAGCGCCCCTGCCTGGGCAGTCCCATTGCCTGTGTCCCTGCACGCCAAGAAGTTTCTCGTCCATGCCGCAGGGACGACACGAGAGCGCTCAAACGAATCCTGAGGGACACACTGGCGGAAATGGTGACTCTGAGGTCTCGCCTGGTGGAGCTGGAGGGCAGAGCCGGCGTCGGGCCTGGTGGTTCCCTCTCTGATCTGGCCCAGCAACCGCAGCGCGGCAGGGCAGTGCTGACCGGCATGCTGACCTGGCGCCATGCCAAGACCTGGACCAAGGTGGGAGCATGAGCTGGGAGCCTGGCTGCCGTGGCTGTGTGTTGTGAGTCCTGGGGTCAAAGCCCGACGGATGGGGCCATTTGTCCACTGAATCAACCCCTTGCCCTGCACCCCTGCAGCGAGGACGTGCCGCGGCGGGTGCGCCTGGTGCAGCAGAGGCGACCAACTCGGCCCCCGCCATTCTCCCTGGGGCTGCATCTGGCCCTCAGCTTGACCTTGAGCTGGCGGGGAAGCCGCGAGGCGGGAGGGACGCGCTGCGTCTCCACTTGCGGATGACCACCGCCCCTGAAGGGCTGGGCTTGACCAAGGTGCGGCGGCGTAGGGAGTCTCAGGATGTATCAAGGCCAGGACACCCTGCACTATGCCATCGGCCGCGCAGGGAGGCTGTGCACATCCATCACATCTTGTCGCACCCATTTCCCCCGCTCGTCGCAGCTCATGTATCGCATCGGTGCGAGCCCCAACCTGCATGTCTTCCTCGCACCCCATGGAGCCTGCGGCGAAGACCTGGCATTCACGTTGAATCCAGTGGCAGGTAAGGTGGGGGGGGGCCCGGCCACTTGCAATGGAGTGGCCTGCTCCAATATACCCCCGGACTCGGGTGGTATGCCGGCATAGGTGTCAAAACTTCCGGGTCAGACGCAGTGAACGTTACCTCCGCCTCCGGTCTTCGCATTGGCAGGCCAGGGGCTGACGCATGTGCTGGAGAAAGGCTGTCCACTGCACCAAAGCCGGCTGGGATCTGGCGTGGGCGCTGCCCTCTCCCTGCCAGGGGTCTGGATCAGTGCTGGCACCTTCCTCGATCGCCAAAGTGGGTGTGGTGGCGGGGGATGCTGGCCTCATGTGCTTCACACAAAGTCCGCCTGCCTGAAGGTCCGTGCGCGCTGGTCACCGACACATCCCGCAATCTGTCTGCTCAACCCATCGCGTACAACAGGTGCCAGGCACTCTGCGGCACAGCATTTTGGTCAGGTCACTGCCGCCGTGGGGCCCCATCTCAACCTGGCGGCCACAGCCCTGCTGCGGCCAGGTGTGGCAGAGCCCTCGCGCCTGGCTGTCATGGCGACGTGTCGGCCGCTGGGCCCCCAAGGCCTCATGGCACATGCCTGGCTGCAAGGGTCTGCGGACTCGGCTCCGCTCACCGCACACGGGGGGCGGTGGGGAGCCATTCTGGCGCCCCACCCGAGCGCCTCCGCCCCCAGCTGGGCCCTGGGGATGAGGAGCAGCGGTGACAGGGGCATGGCCCCAGACCTGGCCGAGGCATCGTGGAAGCTTGCGATGGGGGAGGGGCTCAGCCTCACCCCGGGGGTCATTCTCCAGTCCAGCGGTGAGGCTTCGACTGCAATCATCGCTCTCAAAGCTGCCTGGGACTTCTGATGCGCAGGTTGGGCGTCGTAGAGGAATAAGTAAGCAATGCGATACAGGAACTTATCTTGTGTGGAGCATTGGAAATAGGGCAACGAATGTGAGTGTGCATACTGCACGAAGAAAGTGACACACACAGGCACCCGGGACGAGAGCACGGTGCGGACCCTGCGCCAGGGATTCGGACAAAGGTGGAGAGCAACTCTAATTTGCATTGAATCGGAGCGCTCCGTGGCTTGAAGGAGCACAAGCATACCCCCCCCCCCTCCCCGTGCACGCAACCTCGTCTTAGAAACCCCGTGGTCTGTGTCCCTGAGGGAGGCCTCACAGCGAAGCCACAGGAGGAATCGGAGCACCCTCGGCATCGGTAGGATATGTCCAAGGGACTGTCGGTGCTCGCGCGCAGTGCCGGGCAGGCGCGCCAGCTCATGGCACGCCGAGGCGGAGGTGGTGGTCCCCTCTCCCGGGCAGCGGTGCCCACGCAGCCCCTTGCAGAGCAAGACGAGCTGTGAGTGAACTGATGGGAAGGATGCTGTTGGGGGAGGTCCGACATGCACGGATCCCTCTTCCTGGACGATCGATTGCATTGTTGCTGAGTCCTCTCCACCATGTCCCTGGCGTAGCATTTGGCAAGATGGCACTGGCAACCCCGAGACGGCTCTGGACAGCTACGACCTGGTGACCCCTGGTCAGGCTCTCGGGTGGCTGGCAGCTGGCATGGGCGTGTTTGCGGCAGTAGGAGCAGCACTCAGCCTTGACCCACCCGAGAAGCGAGTCCCCTGGGTGAGCATGAAGTTTTTGCAAGGAGGGGGACTGCAAAGTTGCACCTGCATAAATTTGACTGCGCGTGTAGATAATATATTAGGATGAGTGCACTCAGGCTGCCGCCTCTCCCTGTGCTCTCGCAGGCACGAAAGGATGTCCTGGTTCCTCCAGAGATCGAGAAGACCTTCTCCCGCTGAGAGTTTTGGGAGCCGGCTTGATTGGGGGTCCGACCCTCCCATGCACATGCATTCCAGGCCAGATGAAGTCTACAAGCGACAGCTTGCATGCGTCCTGACGTCCCTTCTTGCCATGGAGCCTGCTGGATGCTGACAATGTAGAGCAAGTGGAACACAATGGCAGTACTGCTGCCGGGGGCTGGCTCCCACCTCAACCTTCCAGGCATGTTTTCCCAAAGTCGGCCAGCATTTGGACCATGCGCGCTGAGACGTTGGGCATCTCGTAGGTGATGAGGGCATAGGTGGGGCTCCCATACTTGCCGCTGTCAACCTTCAGGATGGCAATTCCCGTGCTCGTCTCTGCGTCGCCATCCATGGTCCGTCCGTACACCAGAGGGGGATGAAATCGGTGCACCTGTTTGGGGCAGGAGCGGCGATCAGGTGGTGGTAACCATGCAAGGGTGAATGAATATACAAATGGGCTGCACTCATGGATGCGAGAGGGTGGGCTCCATCACATGACTGCTTACCTCATACCGCCGGCCTCCCAGCACCAAGCCCTGCTTGAGAGCTGTCTCGCGGTCCGCGAAGACCGTCGTCAGGGCAGCCCTCTCGGCTTCTGTGGTCTGCGGGACATGTGGGAGGAGGGATCGCCGTGAGGCTCAGAAAACCACCTCCGAGAGCTTTTGGACACCTGTCGCCCAAGCCTCCCTGCCCTGCAGGACCCCCCACCTCGAACGTCGAGTGGACAACTTTAGAGTTTGTGAAGATCAGCACCCTGCTGGCATCCTGCCAGGTGCTCTTGACCGCTGCGCTGATGTCTTCACGCCCTGTCACTCTTGGGGTCGTCATACGCCTCGGCGCGGGGGGGGATCCACAGCGTTGTTACTCTTGGGAACAAAGATGTGTCGCGACTCTTTATGAATGAGAGGGTAGGGTCATCGGCCTAGACGTATCCCAGGAGGCTAGCTCGGGGTAGTCGTCTTCATAAGCCCGCCACACAGTCGAATGGAAAAAGGGCGGGGGCAGGGTTTCTCGCAGATCATCCTCGCAAGATGTCGTCAGGTCGTGATCATTTCCATTCAACATTTTTGAAGCGCATTACACCTCACATGTAGTCATGCAACATATATAGTGCCGATCTCACCGCCGCAGGAGCACGGCTCATGTCGAGCTCGCTGCTGGCAAGCCGAGCGGCGTCCTTCCGTCTTGCAGCTCGCACACTCCCCTGCTCCTCCCTCCAACGACCATGCACACCTTCGAAGAACTTGTCTGAGAAGTTTCGTAGCCGGCTTAGCGCACCACGGAGCTCATGGACGGGACTCAGGTGTCTCAACTCCTCCCCACAGCCCACCGCTGCTGGTGGGTTCATGCAGTGGCCTGCGGATGGAGAGTTCAAGTTGGGTGCCACCTCACCAGGGTCTCATGGGGCGTATTCATCATACCATCCCTCCTTTGACTGTCTGCAGAGCAGGAGCAGTACATCCAGCTCCCCGCAGAGGCCCCCATCTACCCCGAGCTCCTGGCGCCGGGCAAGCGCTGCATCCTCGTCGGCGTGGACCCCGACATCTCCGGCGCCCTGGCGGTGCTGCACTGGCAGAACCCTGCCGAGGGCGCTTTCTTCCCTTGGCAGGCCGCCCGCCTGGAGGTGCACGACATGCCCATCGTGCTCTGGCAGCTGGCCTCGCGCGTGAAGAAGCAGCCGTGCAGCGTGGGCCTGCTGCGCACGCTGCGGCCCTATGCCGACCTGGCGCGCGCTGACGGCGACGTGGTGGTGCGCGCCGCGCTGGAGGTGACCACCCCCAGCCACATCAGCGGCAAGCATGCCTGGTGAGGGGCGGCGTGGGGCGGCCTGGGCTGCTGTGAGCCGGATCTGTGGGCGTGACGATGGGGAGGGAAAGGAGCTCGCGCTGCGCTGGGCACCCCAGCCAGGTCACCCCCGGGTCGTTCGCCACCCCCCCAGGTTCAACATCGGCTACTCGACGGGAATGCTGGACGGCATCCTCACCTCTCTCGACATTCCGTGCACCCGCATCCACGCCGCGATCTGGAAGCGCCAGCTGGGCCTCTTCAAGAAGGGGAAGCCGGGGAGCATGGCACTGGCCCACCAGCTGCTCCCAGCTGCGGCCCCCTTTCTCAGGCGAGCCTGGAACGATCGCGTTGTTGTCAAGTGATGGGAACTTGGGGTGCGGATGGTCCGTGGATCCTGCTCTTGACGTCCATGCTGGCCAAACTCTGTTCCCTCCCACTCCGAGTCACAAGCCATGGCTGTCCAGACACGCCACTGGCCTGCCTTCATTCATGCAGGAGGAAGAAAGACCATGGGAGAGCAGAGGCCCTGCTCATTGCCGCTTGGAGCCTGGGGTGCCGGGCTCAAGCCGTGGCAGTTGCGGAGAGCGAGGATGCTGCAGGGGAGGAGGACGAGGTGCTCCTGTAGAGGGGCTCGAGATGCTGGGCCGAGCTCCTCCTCGGGGCCCTCGGGGCTGCCTGCACTCTTTGTTGCAGCAGCCAGGCGGAGCAGGTGTGCAGCCCGCACCCCTTGAACAGCGTCGCCTTGCTAAGCTCTCGAGCGACCAACCAATTATATATACATGCCTGGGGCAAGTGTGTGTGTGGGAAAACTCAGCCAGAAGGCACCCCGTCTGACGCGTGGCAAGCACGGCCCCCGCGGCCGAATCTCAGCCGGCGGCGACGCGCACCCCACCGGTTGCCGTCGCTCGCCAGGGGAGCAGTGGGCTGCCCGGCCCCGCCTCGCTCTCCACCTCGCTGGCACCGCCCTCGCTCTCCACCTCGCACGACTGCCCGTCCTCGCTGGCCTGGCGGAGGGGTCCGTCCTCGACAGGTAGGGCGGCGCTCACGGCCACACCGGGCTCGGCGCGCACGGCCACAGCGGGCTCCGCACTCGCGGCGGCTCCGGCGGCTCCGGCGGCCGCCGCCCGCGCCGCGGCGACCTGCCTCGTCTCCCGCAGGTGCGGCGCCGCCCGCTGCCAGGAAAGCACGGCGGCCGCCAGGTCCCAGAAGGAGAAGTCCGGCCAGAGGGTAGGGGAGAAGAAGAGGTGCGCATGGCGGGACTGCCACTGCAGGAAGTCGGACAGCCGCCGCTCGCCAGAGGTCCGGACCAGGAGGTCCACGGGGGGTGTGCCAGCCTGCGCCAGGTGGCACCGCCAGCTGGCGCAGGGACCCTCGCGAGCGCATCCTGGGCCCCGGTCGGCACCCGTGCGCGCGCTCTCGCCCTGGGTGAAGGGCGGGGAGGCGGGGGAGCAGGGCTCGTGCCGCGCCGCCGCATCCTGGGCCGCCAGCATCTCGCTGGACGCACTGGGAGTTGGGGGAAGAAAGGGGGAAGCGGCTGAGGCATGCACGCCGACAAGGATCCAGAGTGCCTGGAGGCACCGATGGTATACGGAGCGGGGGCAGGGAAAGGGTGGCCAGGTACTCAGCTCCCTGTCATGCTGCTTCAATGATCATCCCCCGAGTTCTCAGTCGCTCCCCACACAATCACTCGTCGGCAGGGTTTCACCCAGCCACACGCAGGCAGATGAACACATCATCCCAACCCAGCGCCCCTTCCCCCGCCCGCAGCGTGCCTGTAGCTGAAGCAGATGTTGAAGGTCACTCGATCATGGGCGGCGGTCAGGGCCTGGACGTGCTCGGCCGCTCGGCGCACGGCGGGCGGCGCCAGGGTCAAGTCCCCCAGCACGCGGACCCTGACCCCGCGCCGCTCCAGCACCGCCACCTCCCCCAGCATGTGCAGGAACTTCTGCTCTGCAAGGTGCATGAGACCCTCCACCTCCTCCTCGCCCCGGCCATAGTTCTCGATGCTGAAGGCGTAGACGCTGACGGTGGTCACGCCCAGCTCCAGGCACCACTCCAGGGACTGGATCAGGCGGCTGTACCCCTGGGTGTGGCCCGCCAGGGCGGGCTGGCGCCGGGCCTCGGCGTGGCGCCGGTTTCCGTCCATGATGAAGGCGACATGGGAGGGGTTAGGCCGACAGGTCAGCACGCTACACACGGCCGACTGCGCCAGGCGATCCAGGGAGGCCGCCAGAGGCATTGTACCAGGATTCTGATCGATATTCGCTGTTTTGGGATTGGTAGAGGTGCGCGCTGGGCTTCCAGAACCAGGGGTTGCGCAAGGCAGGTGCTGCGTCAGCTCCGCGCGCCCTGCACCTGGTGAGAGAGCGCCTTGCGTGTGAGTGATCGCAGACCCCTATCCAGTCACCGAGGGCTGCAACGAAGCAATGCTGTCTTGTGCTACGGTGACAGCACCCAACGGGGACCCCCGAGTGAGCATGCTGGCCCCGGCTTGAATCATGCAACGTTTAAAGGAAAGGGCCGCGCGCGCCGGAGCATCTCGGGGTTCGAAATGCAGGCGACAGCGCAGGCCAGCTGAGGCCCCGTTGGGCTTGCTGGCCTGGCATGCAGTCTCGAGAATGAAACTGGGCCAGTCGTGACGAGTCGAATTGCAAGTGGCACTCCCACTCCCGCAGAACCCAGGCTGCGCGGCATGGACGACTTTGCCCGGCCCGCCCTGGTCATCGACTGCGGGTCCGCCTTCATCAAGGCCGGATTCGCGGGCGAGGTCAGCCCCGCGGTTCGGGACCCGTCCACCGTGCCGCGAGCTGCGGGACTGGAGCCGGGGCCCCCGCTCGTGCCCGTCAAGCATGGCATCGTCCAGGACTGGGATGCCATGGAGCAGCTCTGGCTGGATGTGACGTACAGGTGACTGCAGCGCTGAGGGACCAAGTTCATGGTGGAATGCTTCGCCATGCTGGACAGGACCCGCCATTCCACATCTCCTGTCTGCGCCCCACCTGTGAGCGCTGCTGCAAACTCACGCTCACCCACCCCACCCCGCCCCGGACACTCGCAGGCGGCTGCATGTCTACACCTCCGACCAGCCTGTCATCCTGACCGAGCCGCCCCAGAACAGCCCAGAGTCCAGGGAGCAGGCTGCCGAAGTCATGTTTGAGAGCCTGGACGTGCCGGCGCTGCACATAGGGGTGCAGGCCCAGCTGGCGCTGTATGCCGACTATGCTGCCCGACAGGCCATGGGCTCTCAGGTCTGACCTGGCTGGGGGTGGCTGGCGTGGGTGTTGGGGAAAACGGGGAAGGAGCTCCATAGGGGCTCCTTTGCATGCTTTTAGACAGCTGCACCTAGTCCCATAGAGTCCCATCCCTCTGCTCTCCGGGCAGAGCTGCACATACTGCAATCCATCAAGAATGCTCTGCAGCGGCGCCACACCATTAGAGCACCCACACCTCCCCCCTTACCCCTCTCGCCCTGGCAGACGAGCTCGGCGAGCCTCACAGGCCTAGTGGTGGAGAGCGGGGAGGGGTGCACCCACGTGATCCCCCTGGTGGACGGCTTCCTCCTGGCTTCCGGCACACGCTCCATGCCCCTGGGGGGCGCACAGCTCACGCGGCACATCCAGGCGCTGATGCGAAAAGGGGCTGCCCCACCGCCGCCTGACCAGTCCCTGGAGATAGCGGTAGCGGTCAAGGAGAGGCAATGCTTTGTCGCGGCCGTCGGGGGCGGGCCCTGGAGCAGCGCCAGCAGCAACCAGGTCCCCGGCAGCGTACCAGACGGTCCATTCAAGGTGGGGCGGCATGGACTGGCGTGCACACATGCAGGAGACAACTCAGTCGCGGTCAGGATGCATGCTACTCTGCACTCGGCAGTACTGTGCGCCAGACTTTACAAAGCTGCACTCCAGCATGCAAGGATGACGTGCTCCCTCCCTTCATTCCGCGCAAACCATGCCGGTCAGGACGGGGCAGCCGCTGCGCATCCAGTTGGGGGAGGAGAGATGGCGGGGCCCCGAGCTCTTTTTCGACCCCGGCGCCTTCACCAAAGGTGACATGGCGTGTATGGGACGTGCGCCGACACCGTATGTCTTTGTGACTGTGCGTCGGAGCGCGTGTGAGGTGGCCGACCCCTGCACAGCTGCTTGTGTGCAAGCATGGCTCGCACTCACAGGGACCTCGCCTCCCCTCCTGGCACTCTCGCCCTCCAGATGCCACGCCCAGCCTTCCAGACCTGATAGATGATGCCATCCAGGCCTGCCCCATTGACACTCGGAGAGCCCTGTATGGCAACATCGTCCTCAGCGTAAGGGCCCCCATCTTTTCAGGGGATAACTGTATTTTGTTGACCTCGTGAGATCTGGCTGCGCTACCCTTCCCCTTGGGCAGGCATTGAACCCTTGCGATTGCCACGACGCGCACCCTGCCTTCTGCTTCCAGCCCGCCTCCCTACGCCATGCAGGGAGGGAGCACCCTCTTCAAGGGCCTGGCTCGGCGGCTGGAGACCGAGGTGCAGGCGCGGGTGGCTGCCAGGGTCCAGGGCCGAGCACCTGCCAGCCATGCAGCCGCCACCGGGGTGGAAGTTCATGTTGTGACCCATCCCATGCAGCACTTTGGTGCCTGGTTTGGCGGCTCGGTCCTGGGGGCCAGCGAAGGTGCGACCCTGGAGGTGTGAGGCCGGATTGGCCTGCCCCTGCTCCTGTGTCTGTGGGCGTGGGGAATGAGGTGGCTGTCGACAGTTTGCAGGTGATTTCTCGTGAGTATGCCACACAGTCCGATGCTGAGCCACGGTGTGAAGTGCCCCGCAAGGATCTCACTCTGCATGGCCTTCTCCTCCCCTGCATGGGCGACCCATTGAGCAGCCTTCCGAGAGGTCGCCATCACGCGCGCAGCCTACATGGAGACAGGCCCAACCATTGTGCGCAACAACGTGGTGCACTCAGATTGGTAGCCTATCTATCGTGTGCGCGTGACAACAGCGGCATCCTTGTACACCTTGCAGAATGGCTGAGGTGTGGTGAACAAGCCGTTCCCTGCAGGTGCTTCCCCATGATATAGCCGCCCTGCTCACTCGACCATTTCACCAATACTGTACAGCCCATTTTCTTCTCATAGCATGGGAACGGGATCGCAAGTTTGTGTGCAGCTTTGTGTTGGCACATAGTTCTTAGAGTATGAGGGTTCCTCCTGGGGGAGGCAGTCTCCCCTCCCAGGACATCAAGTGGGTACAAGGGCTTGGCGAGAGGAGTACCAGGCGCGATCTTGAAGAGCGTATTCCCACAGTCTCACTCCTCGTCCATGGAGTCCATGGAGAAGGAGCGCTCCAGAATGGCTCTCCCCTCTGTCGCAGGCACGGTGGGTTTGCGGAAAGACAGGGTCTTTGTGGAGGAGCCCTGGACCTTGGTGTCGCAGGTGAGGCCTGCCTCCTCAAAAAGCTGGCCCAGGTCTGTCTGGATGTAGGCCCTGTAGTATGGCTCGTTGAAGTCTGGCAGAGGGAAAGGGGGAGTCGGAAGGTTCATGAGTGAAGCTAGCCTTGCAGAATGCAGAACACTCCTTGGCGAGTCTCATACAGTCGTGCCAATCATGAGACTGTCGACAGTGACGAGCTTCTACTTTACTTGTGAGGCGAAAACTGCCTACACTCACCAAAGCCGGCCACCCACCTCCAAACTTGTGCATCTCAGAGTTGAAGACACTCCTATCCCCCAGCTGCTGGGAGTCTGTCAAGACCACAAGGCCGCCGGGCTTCACGACACGTGCCATCTCACGTACAGCGGCCCGCAGGATGGCGGGGGGCAGCTCGTGGAAGAGGTAGATGCTGTAGACGATGTCGAAGCTGGCGTCTGGAGCATCGATCTTCTCAGCCGGGGTCTAGATTGTGTGTGGGGAGGGAACGATTTGGATGCATGCGGACTGACTGGAGGATACATCAGCATGCGTGTCTTGGAAGACAATCTGCGACTGCATTCTGCAGATGGCCAAGTATTGCTACTGTTCTCCCCAGACTCAACCTCCTGCCTGAATCAAGAACGACACCTTTGACCAGATCACCATAGGTGCGGGGTCAAGCAGGTGTGCACTGGTCCACCTCATGAGCACCCCAGACACGACACACATCATCTAAACTACCAACAGAGAACCCAAACGTGCCCTCACCTGCAGAAAGTCGCAGCCGGTGCCCTCAGCGCCGCCCAGCCAGGCCCCCCCCGCCCTCAGCTGGTGCCAGTGCTTGGCGTTGGAGCGCGCCTCCGCCAGGTAGTAGGGCGAGAGGTCTGACACCGTCAGGGGCAGAGTGGGCCAGTTGTCCTTGACGTAGGTAGCAAAGCGTCCCGTACCTGCCGCCACCTCCAGCGCCCTCAGCTGGGCAGGGTCCCGGCCCTGCAGGTAGTCATGCAGCGGGACCAGGGTGCAGCGCTGCATAGCGTCTTGGCGGCCCAGGAAGAGCGTCTCGGTGGAGGTCTCATAGATCTTGGCCGAGTCGGCACTCAGCCAGCCGTCGGTCTGGGAAAGGGTGAGGCAAGGGGGAAGGTGAGAGTTGAAACTGCCGCAAGGAGAGCACGCATGGCCGTGTGTGTGCACAGCCTAGATAGTATACAGGCAGGACAACCATGCCAGCGAGTCTCATCACAGGGGCCACTTGCATGCTTCTCACCTGATAGTGGAAGGTGTTCTGGTAGTCTGTGGGAGTAAACAAGGGAAGGGTGGCTTGGTGATGGAATGCGGTGAGGACCTCACAACCAAGCTTGCCGGCAGCATGGATGCTCCAACTCAACTCCAAGACACCCAGCCTTACATTGGGGAAGGAGGCCGCTCTTGAGCCACACTGAGTCTGGCTGCTGGGCATTCCTGCAGGAAGTTCAAGACTTGTGTTGTTCATTCTGGGACCCTGCAGCGAGCAAGTACTGATGAGAGCATGCAGTACTGGGTGACAAGTGAAGATCACACCGAACACCAGTCTCACTTGCGCTGCATGGTCAGACGGGCCTCGCCCATGAAGGCTGCTGCCCGCTGCAGCACGAACAGGGGGTTGAACTGCCTGTGACGCACCGTCTCCATGTCCCAGGGGAAGCCATACTTTCCTGGATGTGGGCCAGGGCAGGAGGACTACTCTCGGGATAATAATACTTCTTGGCTTTCTGAAACCATTAGACCTGTCTTCCATGTTCTCCTTGCCTCCAGCACCGCCAGTTGACCCTTCCCACCTTCTTTGATGTTCTGCAGGTCCTGATAGTACATGAGCAGCACCTCGGCAAGAGGACCACGGGCGCCCGTCACAATCGTCTCCAGCTTGGTGGGAGTGGCCGACGCACTCCCTGCCGACCCGCCTGACTGGGCAATGAACAGGCCCACAATCGCCTGGAGGAGGAAGAAGGAGGTCCTCGACACATGGTACGCCCAGTACCTGCAGTGATCAGTGGGCAGAGGGGCGAGAATGTCAGACGGCGATATAAAAGGTTTATCTTAGCTATTGTTCGGCAGTATATCTCCCCTTGTGCCAGGGCAGACGCATGAAAGTGGCTACCTGGCACCACGATGCATTTAGGGCCAGGGTTTCCTATACTAAGCTGCCAGGCGACGCTGCCGTCCTTTCGCCAAACAACATACAGCCCACACACCGTGCATGATCAATGTTCTTCAAGGCGCCAGTAGCAGTGACGCCCTCTCGCAGCGAGCGTGCTGCCTCCCCGAGCCTGCCCGTCAAGGAGCTGTTCCCTCCCTCCGGGAACAGGTCCGAAGCCTTGAAATCGCGCCACATGGCCACACTCCAGTGCTGAACACAGGTGTGTGAGGGGCTTGATGGATGTCTACAATGCGTATATGGCTTGATTGATCGCAAAAAATCCACAAACAACTCCGTGCACCTGCTGGAAGCGCAGGTCATCGTTGAGGCCAGGGTACGTCATGGCGGCAGGCGTCGCTGCCGGCGTGACCGGCGTGGTCACCGACGTGGCCATGTGTGGGTCGGCCAGGACTGTGGCCTGCGCTTCCGCGTTTGCAGAGGCTTTGACACCCGTCGCGCGTCCGTGCGCCCGGCGGGCCAGGGATCGTGCGGCCACGGGCACCTGCGCAGCGTGGCGCCCATGGGAGTGCACTGCTGAGCACCGGGAGCCTGGGGCGATGCATGACGTTCCTCGGACGATAGCGATGCATGGGTATGAGAGTGATCAACACTATTGCACCTCCCCGCAGGCGAGCAAGCCCTCCGTCCCGTCTCGCCTGCATAACAGGGGCCCATGCCAGTGCGGGAGCGCTTCTCGCGACAACCGGCATCATCGTGTAGCTGGCGACCAATGAAGACCGAAAGGGGTTGTCACTTCTAATTGAATGAGAAGTTTCAAATTGTGATGTCGTCTCTGAGTGAAAAGTTTCTTCCTGGGTTCACACCGACCACCCAGGGATACGAGGAGAGCTCTCGAAAATCTTGTGGCTGTGGGACAGCTTCCAGCGAGGTTCCGCGATCTTTTCTGGGTGCTGCCAGGGTGCAGATGCACGGATGCAAGCCTCGCCTTGTGCGATCATTTAAACAATTATTGTAGGGCGTGCATACTTGGCAAAAGGTCACCGTGTGTTAAAGAGTGGGGGCCGAGCTGTCTCTTGCGCGGCGGGGAGCAATTCTAAGGCTCCAGGCTCACCAGGGCTGGCCCTTGCATGTGAGGGGCAAATGTCCATTCACCGATACCGGGGAGCTGTGGCTGACCTAATATGGGTACAAGAGGGCCAGGCGGCTCTAGGAAGGCCAGGCGCAATCTCCCTCGGTTGGGGCCTTTGAGGGGCCGATTCCGAAAGCACCCGGCTCACGTCGTCCGCTGTGCCTCCTGCAGCGCTGCCAGCTGACTCCTCAGCTCGGCGATGGTGCGGTCCCGTTCCAGCAACTGCTGCTGCAGCCGCATTACCACGTCGCTCACCGCCTGCTGCTGCACCTGGAAAGACTGCCGGGCTATCTCAGAGCGTTGCCTGCATGGTTGGGGGACAGGAAAGGGGGAATAAACCTGAAGCTGGCCAGTGGGGTTCCGCTGGTTCCCGGGTGCAAACCAAGTGACATCCATGAGCCACACCGCAGCCGCAGAAAGGCATGCGGTGGGGAACGCGTTCCTTCTGTTCTCTTCATTGGCATCCTTGCTGAGACCCCCACTCTTTTGCACCGCCGGCTCACCCGGTGGGCGCAGCATAGCTGGGGGAGAGGGGCATGGTGGGGCAGGACGCGTCTGGGCTGCCATAGCCTTCGTCCTCCTCGGTGATGCCCATGGCGACATAGGGGATGACCATGACGGGGCAGGCACCATTGTCTATCAGGTGGCTGGAGGTGGACCCGCCGGACAGCGTCTTCTGGAGGGCGTTGGAGGAGCGCGCGCCGATGATGAGCAGCTCGATCTTTTCCGTCTCCAGGTACTGGCTCAGCTGGGATTTCCTCTCCCCCTGTGCAGCATGAGGTGGCGTGGGTAGGGGATGGGAGTGGCCAGAGTGGCGGAGGGGAATCTGCAAGGCATGGGAAGGCTCTGGTACAGCCTCGGCACACCCGAGGACTGGGTGGCGCCTTTGCCAGCTAACGTGGGTGGCACATAGCAACCGTTGCCGGCATCTGGCTCAGGAAAATCATCCAAACATGCATGGTTCCAGGCCCAATCTTGTTCCCGCTGGAACCATCCCCTGCCTACCCAGGGGCCAGCATCGTTTCCGCCTCTACAAGTGACCACAGCTACAACACCCCCCCCACCCGCGTGCCTTCAGGATGACATTCAGGTTGACATTGAAGCCCTCCAGCTCCGAGGCCCCAAAGTTGATGGAGTCCAGCTCGGACACCTCATTTGACCCCGCCTTCTGCAGGGTCATTGCCCGCATCAGCTTGAGCGTCCCCTTCATTACCTGCCAAGGGAGTTTGGTAGATGAGAGGAGGGGGTGGGGGGGTGGCCTTCAAAGTCACATGCTGAAGATGGGCAAGTGGGTCCACCCCACAACACAGCAGGGGACCGTCACAAGTTCCTGAACCCAAAGCCCAAAACTCAGGCATTTTCAGCCCCGCATCCTGTGTTTCCAGCCACCCCCGCCGACTCGGCAAGCCCCCACCTCCTTCATGGGGTTGTCGGCGTCGTCCCTGGGGAAGACATGCACGATGTCGATGGTGTCCGAGGGCTGCAGCACCCTCTCGCGAGCCATTTGGAGCAAGGCTCGCCCTATGGCCAGCGTGGGATAGGCAATGGCAATGCGGCGTGGCGGGGGAAAAGTGCCCCCGGGCGAGACCACCGACTCCGCGCTCGTTTCCGGGCCGCTGCCGAAGCGCATACGAACGTTGCGCACTGCCTGCGGACGCATCGCGGGGGCAAGGGGATGGGGTTTGGGGGTGTCGGGACAGCCGCCCTTGGAACTGCAGCATCCTGAGGAGGCACATCCTCCATGCAAGAGGTATTGCCTAAGTCTGGTGCCAGTCTGGAATTGGGTCAGCAGACTACCGTGTATGCACCCCCAACCACCCACCTCCGGCCGGATGATGATGTAGGGCGTGTTGACATGCTGCTTGACCCAGTCCCGCACCGACACCAGGGACAGGGCCTTCAGGACCGACTGTGGGTACCGATTGCCTATGCGGGTGAGGTGGTTGGGGTGAAGATGTGGAATGGTCACGCCACAATCTTGAGCCCAAAAGCAACTGCCGCTCAGGCTCGAGTGCAGCGCATTCACTCTCCTGAACCTTGCTATACGCAAACCCCACCGCACCAAAAACTACGATGTCAATCTTGGCCCTGTCCAGGAACTCCCGGATGTTGCCCTGGATACTGCCCGCCAAGTCCTCAATCGTGTGAGGGAAGGACTCCAGGCAGGTCTCCAGGTCAGGGATGAGGGGACCGCCCATCTTCCATCGTTCCTTCTCACCGCCCTTCCCCACATGGACGATGATGAGATGGTCTGAGGGATCCAGGCGCGTCCCCTGCCCAAACATCGTCTCTCGCTGCATGGGAGATGCCGGGGAGGTGGGAACTGTCAGGGGGGGTAAGCGGTGCAACGGGGGGACAGGTGACCCACGGCGCCAGACGGCTAAGCTTCCCAGCCCCACCTTCAGCAAATATTGCTTCATCCATGTCCAGGCGTGTACCGTCGATGAATCGCTCCAGTGTGCGCAGCAGAGGGCGATGTTCCGGCCCCGACCTGTGTTCCCGTGACCAGCCATGACGGTGGGGCTCTGGTCAGCTTAGGAGATTTCTCGCCTCTCGCTGGCGATCGTTTCTCAAACCGAATTCCGTAGCATTACACGACTGCGATGTGCCCATGCTGGAGCTGACAGGTCATCTTCGTCGGGTCCTGATCAAGCATTAACAGGGCGCGCGATCCACCATGTACTCCACTGCCGACCTATGATCGAGCTCAGGCTGGAAGCTTTGCTTATTATGACATCTTATTGCATGCAAATTCCATTACCATCTTCTGTGCGATGGATGACCGGCATGCCGGGCCTGAGGGAGTTTCATGTCGCGAAGGGGACCTGGATCGGCACGAGTCGAGCTGGACATTCCTGCTGCAGGGCCCTTCATGCAAGAAGATCGCCATGGCACCCCATCTACAGGTCTAGGGCCAGCGGCGATCAGGTGCCCGGCCCGGTCAATGTTTGGCTTTGGGGCCCATGCACGTGGAGTTTGGCTGGAGTGGCAGGGTTGAGCACATGCTGTGATGCCAGCCGAGGGGCATGTGATCACGGCGGCGTGCGTGCTCCCACAAAATGACAGTCCATGTCTCCGACGCTGCGGCCACTCATCTCTATCCCTCAGGACGGCGCGGCGGCACCCTCCCCAGTGCTGCTGCCGGCCCTGGCCTCGCCCGCCAGCGCCGCCAGCGAGGCGGACTGGGCGGGGCGGATGGTCACCCTGTGGCTCGACGAGGAGTGGACCCCGCTGCCGGAGCACGCAGCTCTGGGCCGGGCGGTGTGCGAGTCGGTGGAGCGGCTGAGCTCGGCCGCCGAGGGCCCCCTGGATGCCTCGGGCCTGGTCATCGACCTGGCCGGCGCCCTGGCCGCCTGCGACTACCACGCCACCTTTGTGAACGCGTTCGACGTTGCCAACAAGGCCGTGGAGCTGCTCATGCTGCGCGCGGGGCACGTGGTGTGCTGCGTGCCTGAGGCCGAGCAGGAAAGGACGGCGCGCCACGCCGCCCAGCTCGACCGGGGCGGGCCGCCGAGCTGAGCGGGACTCCAGTCCCTTGCTGTTGAGGAGGAGCGCTCCCTGCATGCCCGCTCCTCTCCTCCTGTCCTGGTCTTCGAGCCCCATGCGCCGGATCTGCCCATTCCCCGGCGCGCCCCACCCTGTGTCCGTCTCAGCCAACCATGGTGTACAAAGCACAATCAGGACCCGGCGCCCGCGGCGCTCAGGCAGGCCTCCGTGGCGGCAGACACGTCACCCTTGTGCAGGCTCAGGGCCCCCGCGACGCGCACGGGGTCAAACCCCATGCTCCTCAGGTCCGCCACGGCCCTGCACGTCTGCGCCATGAGATCGGGGTGCGCCTGCTCCTGCCCCGCCGCGGCGGCCGCCAGCGCGACGTCCAGGGGGGCGAAGCCCATGCCCTCGTACTTGGCGGCCTCGGTCCGCCATGGGCCTTGCGTGGAGGGGGAGGCGGGCCCGGGCGCCTGCTGTTGAGGGTGGAAGGAGCCGGAGAGGGGAAGGATCAGGACGTCGTACGATTTCAGAACAGGACTGCAACGTTACAGTCCCAATAACAATATCAGTGAGGACCCCTGCCTATGCGCCGTTGATGCGTGTGCACCAGAAATCCTCTGTGTGACTTCCTTGCTCCAACCGACCCCCCTACCACTCCAAAGTGCACTCACACTCCGTGCACTGGCTTCAGCGACCCGTCTGAGGACGCCCTGCTCATAGTCAAAGTTGCCTCTGTTGGAGGGATTGCGGCGGATGGGCGGCTGACTTGTGGAGGGCTGGGCATCCAGCACGGCTTGCAGCTTGGGGGAGACCCGCACCTGGGGGTTGAGGGGGGAGCAGGGAGATGGTACACAGAGCCCAGGGTACTTTTGTATTATCTTGCTGCATGTCTCCAACTCCTCGGTCGTCACATACCGGGGGTGCGATGCGGAAGGGCTCGGCAATCACGACGCGCAGTGTTGGCTGGGAGGAGGAAGCACTCTCCAGCTTCCCGGAGCCATTACTCCTGCCCCCAGCGACACTTGTGGAAGGCGCCGGGACCCAAGAATAGTCCGAAGAGGAGTATGTAGGAGCATCGAAGGACACGGTGGGGTACATCGCCCTACTCGGGAAACCCTCCGCGAGGGGCTTCCTTCCTCTGAGTGCGAAAGAGATCCCGCGGGGACCACCACGGAGAGCTGGGGACAAGAATGTCTTAATGTCAATCACTGGTAGTATGGTACTGCGACTCAGGCTTCGCGCTCGGAGAGGTTGTGCCTGCGAGCTCCACCTTCTTGCGCGTTCGATGACTTCACCCCAGCGCGCTTGGGCTGTCAACACTCGTCCTCAAAGTCACCTTGGTGAAAACTGAGAATCTGGAACTCCTGACGAATATCCTACCCACATTAAGTCAAACGCGTCTCTCACTTGAAGTCACGAGGAGCGACAACGCTGCCAGGAGTATAGCCAGGGTATCTACTAGGTGGCCGCGCAGGATGGCCTGACCAGTCTGGCTGTGCCAATTAGGCAGATGCCCACAAGTGACAACAGCTGTGAGCTGGTCCCATACCTCGATGTATACAAGCAAATTCTCACCTTTGTAGCCAGGTAGAAGGCAACTGATGGACATAGGCTCTGAGATCAATGCTGCGGCTCACAAAGACTGCCCGAGCACAACCTCCAAGGACATCTTGTCGGGTGATATTTGTGAGTGGTGCCTGGCCATATGACCTATACCGGTGTTATAGTAGAATCGGCTGGGGCATTGTGCATGCATGTACCCTCTTGCTCCCCACATGCTCCCGACTTGGGCAGGGTCAAAGTTGCTCAATCTGCAGGATAGGCTCTCTGCGTTACAGGGCCATAGCAGCTGAGCAAAGTTCGATTCCAGATCCAAGCCTCTCAATCTTGCATTAGATCACCTGCTCGAGGAGTGTCTAGAATCTAGTTCAGCATTGCTTCAGCCACCTTTTGACATGCCTCCGCCCAGCCATACGATATATAGGTGGGCTAACAATTCCCCATGGTACGCCTTGTATTCGAAACGCACACCGCTGAAATGATTTCACTAATGTGAGTTCCTCACCCTGCCAAGGAGCGGTGCCGGGGCGGTATATTCCCTTGCAATCCAACCATCCCTACCTCCAAGCTTCCTGCATTCAAACCGCATTTGCCCACGTGGAGTCGGCCGGCCGGGCGTCAGACGGCCTCTCATATCCCACCAACAAATACGAAACGAATTCTCGGCAGCGTTTTTTCCACCTTAAATGCTCGACTTAATGCATGATTTGTGAAGAGCTCCTGGCGGGGTGTTGGTCCGATCGCCTGGTCTGGCAACCCTGCCGAAGCCCTAGGACTCCGAAACCACGATGTGGTCGGCCTGCGTCATGCCGGGCGCGACATGCCGCGGAATTCACAAAACGCATACTATAGGCACATCGTCGCGGGGCAGGGCGCGCTCTCGGGCACTCCATCGTACATCGTGTTCCGGCCCTGGTGGCACAGGACCTGGGTCTGCGCACAAAAATCCCGACAAAGCTGATGGTCATCACGCGGAGTCTCGGTCTTCGACATCCGGTACAAATTCAAAGTCCTCTCCGGAACGGGGCCTGGAGGTCGCCGCCCTTCGGAAGGACTGTGTTCGAAATGACAAGCGCATGGCTCGACGCAGTTGCCCCGCTAACCTCGCCGTGGCCAGCAGCCTCACCCTCTCCACAGCCCTCGCACTGTCAGGTGAGCGTAGGGTGAAAGCAAATTCGCATGGCCTGGGCTCATCCTGGACTCGAGCTTCGATGCCAGATTGCGATGCCTGTGATATTTGGTTCCCTCTCCGGCTACGTATAGTGCCAGAAGGAAGATGTCGCACAATTCACAGAGGCTTCTTCATCCTCCTTCTCATTCAACATACATACATAGAGCCCTTCCTGGAGTATCTCCGACCTCAAATCCGTCCAGTACTGTGAACCCATGTTCCTGTGCTCAAGTATGCCCACTTTCTTTCCACAGGCACAAACACCTGCAGTGGCAGCGTGGGGGCCATCGCCGGGGCCATCCTGGGAGCCTCCTTCTGGAACTGGCACTCGGACATGCTGAGGGTGCGGGCCCGCAAGCCTGCACCCCTGAGGGTGGTCATCACGGGGTCCAGCCGCGGCATTGGCAAGGCGCTGGCGAGGGAGTTCCTGAGGGCTGGGGACCGTGTCGTGGTCACCTCCCGCTCGCTGGCAGACGCCCAGGCCGCCGCTGCTGCCCTGGTGGGGGAAGGCGTGGGCGGGGCCCCCCGCTCTGTGATCGGGCTGGCCTGTGACGTCGGGGACGCTGGGAGCGTGGAGGCCTTGGCGGGGGCGGCCATGCATCAGCTCGGGGGCGTCGACGTCTGGATAAACAATGCTGGGACCAGCGGCGGCTTCCAGGTCCAAAGGTTCTTTCGTGTGGTACGGGGTGTGGTCGATCCTGTCAGCCATTTCCGTATTCGTGAAGGGCATGTGCGCTTTGGAGTTCATGCCGCGGTGCCTGGTCTTGCTGAGGGCGACGGCTGCCATGAGCAGGCGCATGCGAGGCCAGCTGTGGAGTCTCCACCCCCGCTCATCATTCCCCCGTAAAACCTGGGCATCACCACTCTTTGCCACCCCTCTTGTCCTCGCCGCCAGATGTTCAAGGAGCAGAGCCTGGAGGTCATGGAAAGCGTGGTGAGGACCAACCTGGTGGGGTGCCTGCTGTGCACCCGCGTCGCGCTGCGCACGCTGGGCTCCCAGCCGACGGGGGGCCACGTCTTCAACATGGACGGCGCGGGGGCAGGCGGCGGCCCGACGCCGGGCTTTGCCACCTACGGCGCCACCAAGGCCGGCATAGCCCAGCTTCTGGAAAGCGTGGTGCGGGAGCGGGCGGGGAAGGCCAGCGGAAGGGAAGGCGGCGGCGCCGCACTGCACAACCTCTCCCCCGGCATGGCCCTGACCGACCTGCTGCTGGCGGGGGCCACGCCGGGGACGAAGGCCGCCTTCAACGTGCTGTGCGAGCAGCCGGAGACGGTGGCCGCGCACCTGGTCCCGCGCATGCGGGCGCTGGCGGCGCGGCGCTCCGCCGGCGGCCATTACCTGCGGTACCTCACTCCCGCCCGCGTGCTGGCCTGCTTCCTGGCGGCCCCGCTGCGCCGGGGGCGCTACTTCGACCCCGCGGGCCGCGCGCGGTACAAGTCAGAGGCGGAGCGGGTGGCGCTGGCGGAGGGGCGGCGGCGGGGGCCGCGCGGGAGACCCGCCCCCCTGGCCCTCCTCTACTCTGGGTCTATCGCGCTTTCCTACCTCATGCTGGCCACGCAGGCGCATGCCCAGCACGGGATGTGACCTTGGCATGGGCTGGGCAGCGCTCTGTACGACGTTTTCTACATCATCATCCTTGCTTTTCTATGAGAATGTGCCCATGTGAAAGAGTGTAGCAGCCCAGGCCGGTGCTGGGAGGAGGGATGACGGTGACTGCGTGCGCCAGGGTAGCAGGGTGATGAGAGCACTGAACATATATGGTGAGGCTGGATGTTCGAGATAATGCAGCACATGGTTGCCTGCATAGATGTGATAAGTGCAGGGGGTGCCTATCGATCTGTCTGGCATCCGGCCAATCGTCCCACCGACAGGCGCCGCATGCGGTGCAGGGAGTGGCACGGATTATCTGCCGAGGTGTCTGTTCCCACCCAAGCATGCATGGATGGTGTACGTTATTAAATGCATGGCCTGAACTAACACAAATCAGGATGCAGCACTGCACGTCGCTGCTGCCGTGCCTGCGGGTGCAGATCATGAGGCCCTTCATGTCCCTCTGCCGACCACCACCCATGCCCCGTGCGACGCTGTGCCCGAGGTCAGCCTTGCCAGCGAGGCATCGAGACGAGATGTACTACCATGTGCTGTGTAGAGGCGTACTGACAGGGTCCAATGTGAACCCACACAGGGTGGTGGCGGTCCAGGCCCGAGCCAAAGGCACGGAAGCCGGTGCACCCGCCCCTCCCCGCAAACCCACGGCGCCAGGCCCCGACCGCACCCCATCTGAGGAGGACATCCGATCAGTGCGCATCGGCAAGGCCCAGGCCCTGCGGGACGCAGGACTGGAGCCCTATGCCTACTCCTTTGACAGGAGTGCCAGCGCTGCGCAGCTGCAGGCAGCCCACGCCGAGCTCCCCGCCGGCCAGGAGGACCGGGAAGCCAGGGTGTCGATCGCAGGGCGCATCACCCTGCGCCGTGTGCTCGGCAAGCTGGCCTTTGCGCGCCTGAACGACGAGTCCGGCGCCATCCAGCTCTATTTTGACAAGGGCACGCTGGGCCAGCCCGCCTTTGCCCGCGTCAAGGATGTGCTGGACATCGGCGACATCGTCGGCGCGGAAGGTGTGTTCCTGGGCATCTTTGATCATTGGCTCCCCATGTGGTGTGGGAGGTGGAGGGGGCGGTGCATGCCTTCAGCGCAGCATGCCTAGTATATGTGTGTCTGCAACTCCAGGCGCTGCCGGCATGTCTCTGGCGACCCTCCTGCTTCCTCCCCCTAGGGCACATGAAGCGGACTGACAAGGGGGAGCTGAGCGTCGTGGTCACATCCTGGACCATGCTGACCAAGGCCATCCAGCCGTTGCCAGACAAGTGGCACGGCCTGGCTGACGTGGAGGCACGGTACCGCCGGCGGTACGTCGACATGATCGTTACCCCGGGCGTCACCAACACGCTGCGGGCCCGGTCCAAGACCATCAGCGCCCTGCGCCGCGCCCTGGAGGACCGGGGCTTCCTGGAGGTTGGTGGGGTTGGGTGGAGGGTTGGGTGGGGGTCCTGGGCGTGGGAGAGGGTTCAGCCCTGGCTGAAGCCTTCCGGATGAAATGCTCCTGGAATAGCTGATCCCAGGCATACAAGGCATTATCTCCAACTTCCCCCTTCACAAACTCGCACCCACACATGCAGGTGGAGACGCCCGTGCTGGAGACGGCGGCCGGGGGTGCTGATGCACGGCCCTTCCTCACCTACCATAATGTGATGCAGCGCCAGCTGTCCCTGCGCATTGCCACCGAGCTGCACCTCAAGCGGCTGGTGGTGAGTGGGTGGGGATGGGGAGTGGGAGGGGTTGGCACTGTGCATGAGGCTGACCGGCCCCTGGACCCTCAGAGCCGCTTGGGTTACAAGGCTGAGGTCGTCATCACATGCTCTCGGGTGTCGAGTCTCGTGAGACTCCTTGGCTCAGCCCCCCCCCACCTCTCGCGCCCCCCTCCTGCCAGGTGGGGGGCCTGGAGAGGGTGTTTGAGGTGGGGCGCATCTTCCGGAACGAGGGCGTGTCCTCGCGCCACAACCCTGAGTTCACCAGCGTGGAGCTGTACCAGGCCTACACCGACTACCATGGCATGATGGAGCTTACTGAGGAGCTCATACGCGCCTGCGCCCAGGCATGGACTTTTGGGGGGGGGGAGACATTTTGACCTTCAGGCTGCATCGGGACGTGACGGACTCTCCAGGGCATGCATGCGCCACACCTGCATCCCCCCATCGATCACCCCTCACATCCATCCCCCCTTGCCCCCTCCTCCGAACCGTAGGCGGTCACGGGATCCGCCGCGATCACGTACCAGGACACCGCCATCGACCTGGGCGCCCCCTTCCGGCGTGCCACCATGCACTCCCTGGTCCAGGAGGCCACCGGCGTGGACTTCGGCGGCTTCTCTACAGCCGACACGGCCGCCGCGATCGAGGCCGCGCAGGCCGCACTGGCCGCGCCGGGCGCCGCGGCGCCCTCCCCTGAACTAGCCACCGCGATCGCAGCCGCCACCTCCCCCGGCCTGGTGGTCAACCTGCTGTTCGAGGCGCTGGTGGAAAGCACGCTGGAGCAGCCCACCTTCGTGCTGGACCACCCCGTGGAGGTGTCCCCGCTGGCCAAGCGCCACCGCGACAACCCGGCGCTCACCGAGCGCTTCGAGCTGTACGTGGCGGGACGGGAGCTGGCCAACTCTTTCACCGAGCTGAACGACCCGCTGGAGCAGCGCGCACGCTTCGAGGCGCAGCTGGCCTCCCACGCCGCCGCGCGCGACGCCGCCGCGGCCGCTGCGGCCGCCGCCGGCCCGAGCGCAACGCCCGGCGCGGGTCCAGACGTGGACTATGAGGTGGCGCTAGACGAGGACTTCCTGTCGGCACTGGAGGTGGGGCTGCCGCCCACGGGGGGCATGGGCATGGGCATCGACCGCCTCGTCATGCTGCTGACAGACTCGCCCAGCATACGCGATGTCATCGCCTTCCCACTCATGAAGTGATGGTATTCAATGTATTTCTGTCGGTCGGGGAGCAGGGGAGGGTCCTGAGGGAGTCCAGGGCGGCTATGGAGCCTGCGGATGCATGTTGGCTCAGCTGGTATTGTGGGGCAGAGGCAGTCAGTTTCCCGTGGTCCAGCACCATCCTCGATTGCCCTATCCCTTCAAATGCCATATAACTACGCACTCACTGACTCTACTCAGACTATCGCTCTTATTACAGCGCCTGTATCCTTCAGGCGGTGCCCTCATGATGTGACGGATGAAAGCGGAAACAGCAACCCAATCAACCAGGGCGCAAGGGATTCAGACCAGTCCGGGCTGATGGACAGAGATACATGAAGAGCTCCAAGGCCCAGCTTCAGCATACACACCTGTCTGCAGCCCCGACTCTGTCTCGTGGGATGAGGCGGAGCTCGCTGCCATGCTTCAGAAACACGTCGCCGGCAGACTGGGAGGGATTGATGCCGACGCCGTCTGCCAAGGGGTTAGAGGGTTGCATGAGATGTCGGGGGATGCTTTTGGAGGCATGCAGCATGGCACAGGCTGGGTCGAGCATGTATGCTGTACTTGTAGATCCTCTGCACAAGAATGCAGTGGAAGCCGCTGCATGGCCATTCTCACCATTGGTGATGATGGCGCTGGTGGCTGCTGGTACCTTGAACTGCGGGGACGTGGGGGCAGGGGACAGAGATCACACGGGCTCCTTCTCGCATGAAGCATCCGTCGGCCGCCCCCGGTCAGGGGCATTCTTGCTTCATCCGGCCCCCAAACCCACTCGCGCGCACCTCCTCGGCAGCGAAGCGGAGGACTGCTGTGAATGGAGCTGCCTCGGGCACGCTGAACACCCGGTAGGGGAGCTTGGGATCCGATGTCAGGATGACCTTGAATGTGACCTTGCTCCTGCGACATACAGGGTCATCGTCACGGTGGGTATGTGCGCAAACAGACGCATACAGCCCGTCACGGCAGTGTGGCGATCACCCTCCCAGCATACATGATGATCACCGGGTGGCTCCGTGCAGCAGGAACTGATCCTCCGAGTAAAAACTGCTTGATGAATTCAGAATCCGGGAACGCTCTCCTGTGCACCCTGGGCACGCCTTCCTTGGCAAGTACAGACTTCGCGCCCTATGCCCACAGTCCCGTACGAACAGACAATGTCTCTCGAAGGTCGATGAGCTCGAGAGGATCGACCAGTCCATACCAATGAATGTGTCTCATTCCTAAAAGGGCAGCACGTTGCCCGAGCGCGCTGTCTCCGAGGCAGCAAATTCAGCCGCGTGCGCGCGCGCTCAGATCTCATTGCCGGGCATCTGGTCTGGTCCTCATGGCTAACACCCTGACTGCCGCCGGCAAGGGACTGCGTCTGGGAGACTTCAGGACCTCAACGTGGATGTCCAGCCACAAGGAGGAAACTGTGCGGAAAAGGGAAGGGATTTCAACATCAAGTGTGTGTCGCTCAGGCGGGTGCTCCGGCTTTGCTGGGCGTCCTTCCCAGCCGTGCATCCAGCTTTCGCTGAGAAACATCCCGCTGTATCCTGTCCAGTATGCCCTGCATGGGCATGAGAAGTGCGCGTGTGCAGACGCTCTTGTGTGCATGGACGCGACGGAGTACAGCCCCCCCTGGCTTGTGCACACTGCTCAAGCCCAGCCCGCCATGGCCACCGCATCTCCATGCGCCCCTGAAACATACCCCACTTGACCCTCCCATCACGAGCATCCCACCGTCGAGTCCCTGAGCTCCCTGGCACCGCGGACACCCCCCCCACTCCTCGGCCCCCCCACGCCTCCCATGCGCCCGCACCCCGTCGGAGAAGAAGCGCTGGATGATCTGGGCCCAGGTGCCCAACTCCTTCTCCACCGTCCAGAGGCCCTTGACCGCCGGCAGGTCGGTGGCGGCCGCCAGCTCCGGGTCCTGGGACCGGAAGCCGCAGGCCGTGAAGTGGCGCTGCGCCTCCGTGGTGTACAGGTAGTTGACAAAGGCGGTGGCGGCGTGCCGCGCCACGGGCCCGCCCTCGTCCAGGTTCCGGTCCACCAGCGCCACGGGGCACTGGATCTGGTGGAAAGCAGGAGAGCGAGTGGCGGCGATTGCCAGGGTCCAGGGTGCGGGCGTCTCAGGGTGGGGACCCGCCCCCGGGGCTGTTTGCTGCGATGTGATGGCTTCGTGCAGGGCGCAGTGCCCCCCCAAACCCCCAGCCCCCACGCCACGCACCCTGACGTTGTTGTCGGGGCTGATGAAGGGCAGCTGCTCGTGGGGCGAGACCACCAGGTTGGTGAACACCGCCTCGTTCTCGTAGGTCAGCAGCACGTCGCCGCGCCGCTGCTTGTAGTAGACGTCGGAGGCCTCGCGCGCGTCGCGCGGCTGGATCACCACCTGGTCGTACACGCGCGTCACGTAGTCGATGGCCGCCGCCTCGCCCCGCGCAGCGCGAACACCCCACAGCGCCAGGAAGATCCAGCGCGCCACGCCCGCCGTCTTGGCGTTGGCCACGATGCAGCTCACGTCGGGACTATGAAGGGGGAGGGGGGGAGAGGGGGGATCGGTGGACGTGTGTGTGCGTGTGTGGATGGGTCGGTGTGCAGATCGGTCTGCTCGTGAGGGGCCCGAACTACCGCGCCGGCACGCGACCTGCAGGCTGCGGCAGCGCCGCCGCGCACCTGGCAGCGATCTCCGGGATCAGTGTGCCTGCAGCCCCCCTCCCTCCCCCAAACCCCGACCACCACGCACCGTATGAGGTCGTCCCACCCCCTGATGTTCTTGGGGTTGCCCGCCCGCGTCACGATGGACACCACCGACTCCACCACGATGCTCTGGTGCGGGAACTTGGGCGCCCAGTCGGGGTCCAGCAGGCCCGCCTCTGCGATCTTGATCACGTCCAGGGGCAGAGCCAGGGCCACGATGTCGGCGGGCAGGCCGTCGATCACGGCGCGGGCCTGGGTGCCCGACCCGCCGAAGCTGAGCCGGAAGCGGACGTCCACGCCCGTTTGCTCCCGGTACTGCTTGATGAACATCTGGGTGATCTGCGGGGGGGAGCGTGTGGGGGCAGTGTCACCATGATGCGTGTGTGTGAGAGGCAGCATGGCTGGGCAACTGGATGCAGGGCCAGGTATCATCAGGCCCAGGAGATCAGCTGTCTAGGATGGGTTTGGACAAGGCATACCTTGGGGTGCGGCTGCCTTGCTGGCCCGCGCAGGACAACCCGGTGCCAAGCTCACCACACCTTCAAACTCATCCCTCCTCTGGTGCAAACAAATCCCAGCACCTTGGAGTAGGCCCGCCGCGTCACGGCAAAGGAGGCCATGGTGAGCATGAGGGAGTTCCCTGCAGCCAGCTGGAACACCTCCTCGGGCCCGTGCACGCGCACTGGCCTGCGGTCGCCGCCGCTGCCGTGCGGGGGCGGCACACCGCCGCCCTGCCAAGGTCCGGGGCAGGAGGCGGCGGCGGGGGCTGAGGGGTGGAGCAGGAGTGGGGCGGCGAGGCCCACCCATGCCGCATGTCGCCTGGAGCAAGGATGGATGTGGAGGGTGGAGAGGGATTAGGACAGCATGACAAGGTCTCCCAGAGCGGGCAGGGGTTGTGCATGCAGCCTCTCAGGACCACGCAGGCACAGGCGCCCACCTGAGGAGGGCGAGGAGGACCTCGGCCTGACCCGCCTTCCTCTCCTTCGACACTCTTGTACCAAATACCGGCCTCACACGGTGCTCGGCGGACAGGCTCAGCCTGGGGAGGGGGAAGCGGTCTTGATGAGTTGCCTGGGAGGCCTTCGGGCCAGCAACCCCTCCAAACAGAGGCACACATGGTGCTCGCATCCGGCCCAAACAAATCCCATGCACTGCTCGAGTGCACCCATGGCGTACCTAGACCCAGGCACGCTGACGATCGCGGCACAGGCCTCGGCCTGCATGCCGGCCCAGTCAGCAGGGTGTCGCAGTCAATGCAATCTTTGCGCGAGGGGCTAGGACTCCTCGATGGCGGCGTGTGCGTTGTATCCAATTTAAGATACACACTCAGCGTGTGCATTCCGGCATGCACCCGCGATGCGCAATTGTCAACATCGCATCGGCGCTTGCCCACTTGCTGGCACATGGCGCCTTCATCACTGACAGGAGGTGCATCGGCCCTACATCGCCCAATCAAATTCAAGGGGCGGGATCAGCGTCATGATAATTAATTCCAGGGAAGTTGGCTCTCTCAACGCCTCTCAAATGCTGCCCGCCGGGCTGTCAATCCTTGGTCAGCCTGCCTGGCCTCTCCCAGCGCTGTTCCCCAAGCAGCCACACGCCCTGGCCCCCTGCCAGATCGTCCTCGTCCTCTGCACCCTCCGCGTGCTCTGTGGCATGGGCGCATTGCAGCATGCAGTGAGTACAAAGCACAGCCTTGCCCGAAGAACCTCACGCCAGCCTCCCCCACAGCGCCGACTTCCCTGGACAAGCATCGCAAAAGGGACCCGCCACCACCACAGACTCACGCTCAGCCAGGATGGCGATGTCAGCAGGGGTCGACCCCTCCCCCAGCAGCTTGCGCCAGGTCGCTCCGTCGCACACGCCGCTCTCGGGCAGGCCATTGCACGCCTGCGCGGGAGGGTTGGGTGGCCAGGGGGGGTGGGACTGGAACCTCTGCAGCGTCGCACTGTGGGTGCGCTGGCTCTGCTCCGAGAGCCGGCACACCACTTGGAACCTGTCCCACCCCCCAATCCCACATCCCAGAGCCCAGCGCCGCATAGGCAGGCACCTCTCCCGCTTTACTCCCCAATGCTCCTCCCCCACACCTGGAAAGTAGCCAGGGCACGCATGGAGGAGCTGCCAAACTGCCACCACCGCATGTCGTCAGTGCCGGGGAAGAAACCGGCGCCGTCCAGCGCGATCTGCATGGCCTTCACCTCTCGTCCGCCGTCCCCCTCGTTCAGGATGGGCCACCGCTCGCCGTCGCCCCCGCCACCCCTCTCCCGGCCGGGCGGGGGGGTGCCGGGGGGAGGGGGGCCGTCCTCCTCCAGGATCCAGGCATCGATGCCCAGCTCCGCCGCCTCAAGAAAGAGCTCGGGTTCTGCGTCGCCGGCGTCGGCGCCAGGGCCGACGCCGCCCGACTGGGGCCCAGCCTTGCCCTGCGCTGAGGCGTTCACCATCGCGTCGTAAGCATCGCCCAGCAGGAAGCGCCAGGTGGGTTCGTCCGCCACGCCCGTCTCCTCCAGACCCTCGCACGCCTGCTTTGAGATTTGGGAGGAAAGCAAGGAACGGTGAGGGGCGTAAAACTTTTGACATGCAGCCTGCCTGCAGGCAGATATCAGGCCCTGACACTCCAGGCCACGCTCGCGGGCCAGCCGACGGCCCTCGGCCCCTCACCTGGAGCGTCAGCAGGGCGCTGGTGGTGCCGGAGCCAAAGTACCACTCCTCCTCGTCGTCCTCGCCGGCGTGATACCCGGCCTCTGCCATCGCAGAGTGCAGAGCATTCATCCAGGAGATGTCGTCATCGCCCTCCCGCAGCAGTGGGGGAGGGCCTGGGAGGGGGGGCGGCAGGGCGGGCAGGGTCAAAGGGGCCAAGATCCAGCTGGGCCACTGGCTGTGCCGCCATGGTTGGGAGTGACACAGCATGCTCCGGCGACATTTCACCCCCAGACTGTGCCGCCTCGTCCTTTCCGGCCCTCCGCCGGGAAGCCAGGTAGTCGCCAAAGTTCTCGGCGGGGATGCTCAGGATGTCGGTGTCCTCCGAGGCCGCCAGGGCAAGGCGCAGGTCATCCTTCCAGGGCGCGCGCTCCGTCTCCTGGTCACTGCTCATGGGTGGAGAAGTGGGAGCAGGCTGCGGCACCTCAGTCTCCGAGCGATCGTCGTCAGGCACAGCGGCAGGGGAGGATGCAGGAAGGACTGCGCCACCGCCCTTGGTGCTGCGCGCCGCATCCGCCGCAGTGACATGTGCGTCGTGGGCTCCCGCCACATGCCTGCCCAGCAGCGACAGGAGTTCGGCACGCAGGGACCGGCTCTCTTCGTGCAGCGCCGTCATCTGTGCCAGCCACTCCGCACGTTCCAGGCTCCTGGCCTCCCTCTCCTGCTGCAGCTGAGCCCTCAGATCCGCCAGAATCTGGCCCTGCAAACTCCACAGCTCGCTGGACCTGTTTTCTGCGTCTCCTGCTTGCGCCGGCGGTCTGCTCATGTGAAGGGTACCGGTGATGAGGAGGGGTTGTGCCACTGCGGAGGGCGTCATCCACTGCATATGTCCCATGCAATTAATGCATTTGTGAGACCCACAATAACATGCCAAATACTCACTCCCAAACGTAATCATGATGCCTGGATGCGTCGGAGTCACGGCTTCCCCGCGCCAAGGTGATAGGGCCCTGTGGATTGGGGCCATGGACGGTGGGTACCCGGCTAACAACTCGCACGACGGCATGGGGACTCATCGCGTCCATGCAGCGCGCCCCTCTCACCGCAACTCTGCCCAGACTCTTGTACGAGCACTTGATTGAGTTCCTGAAGGGTCTCTGTTGTCTGCAGAGCCCCGGTGCGCTGTGTACCAGCTGTGGCCTCGTGGTGGTGAAGAATCCCTGGGCCCGGGCCCCGGTGCAGCCTGTCAGGCTGTGAGACATGGTGACGGGTCGATGCACCTAACCCACCTCCCTCTGTACTTGGAGCCCACCTTTTGAAGCCCGGATGCGCCTGACGGCTCGTAACAGGTGCGTGCGTGGGAATGGGTGCATCGGGAGGTTTAGCCCATCATGCACAGCACACTGGATCAGTCCCAGGGTTGACTCATGCCACCCTTACTACTGCCCACTCACAGCTGCATTTCCCCGGGAATCGTATTCTAAAGCGAATTTGTCATAAGCCTCTTACCAGGACAGACCACCTGATGCGTGGGCAAGTGGATACGTTGTTCTGGGTCCAAGGTACCGTGTCCAATGGGCTGAGTTTGCAGCTCCTAGGCGAGTTGCACTGGTACGACTTTTCTGTTGATAGTCTTTGAAGCACTTTGTGAGATTGTGGAGGAGAGGGACAGGATCTCTCCCCCACAGGGAGGGAGTAGAAGACAGCGCAGACGAGAACGCACTCCTGCCCTGGGGTGCTCTCTATCCTGATGTTGCAATTTTAAACACGTCAGCACCCATGGGATCCCTTCATCGGGCACATAGAGAGTATTTCACGCCATCTCCAGTGCTGTGACCAGGGCTGTGTTGAATTGATCAGGAATGCACAAGTCTGGAACTGGACTCCAGGCAGCGTATGTGCAAGACATCCTGTCTGATCCCAAAACATCCATCCTGGTTGCAGGTAGGTTCGAGGGGGGCATGTGATCCTTGGTAGGGCATGTTGTATGGGAGGGTCCATCAGTCCTCAAGAAGCCCCAATGCTAATCAGAAACATTTGTGGCAATGTGTGGTGTGACAGGCCACCTGAAGTGCAGGGGGTTCAAGCTGGAGACATTCCTGCCCATAGAACTATCCGTTGTGCTCGTAGAAGAGGTGCTGCATCACACCTACGATTATCAGACATGTGCTTCGAGGGTTTGTTTCTTGGGAGACCGAATTGAAATCTGGGGCCGAATGCAAGCTGGAAAGCGAGACTCCCTCGAAAATGGTGGTTGTGCGCCCAGGCCCAGGCGCGTTTGGAGTGCGGAGGAGATCCATGCACATCACGGCGGTGAACAGTATCACTATACTGTTTCCCATACTTTGACTATATTAAGACGGTGATCCCTGTTTGCGGGCCGGAGACACTGGCAGTGGAGGCACACCTTGCCCCCTGGTCGTCGGAGTACTCGGCTCAAAGATGGCCGCTGCAGCACCTGGCACCGTGGTCGCGGTCGGAAGCGACGCACAGGAATCTTCGAGGACGAATGTCGCCAGCATACTGACGACCATGTACAACAACGTGAAGGAGAATGCAGCAGCCTCCCTTGGGCAGGTGACAGGGTGTCGGACGGACGAGGGGTCTTGCTCGTTCCCTGTCTATCCTGCAGGTCGAATGCCTCTCAAGTAGCCTATGGTGCCCCATTACAGGCCAGGCCGTGGTCCGAGGTCTTCGAGCGGTCCAGTTTTGCTAAATTCCACGGCTCCACCGAGGTGGGCAGGATACTATTTGGCGCAGATGGAGGTCTGGAACGCTGGCCCTTAAGGGGGACCTGCCCCTGAGAGACTCGACTGCTGCGCTCCATGACGTTGTGGGATTTGATCGTTCCCCCAAAATCTGCTGCGGTTGGCTCCTTCCCCCCCACAAACCCTCCCGATCTCCCCCTTCCCACCACTCCCAGGCCATGGGGCGCCTGCGCAAGAACTTTGCGTACTTCAAGGTCAACTACGGCATCGTGGGCATCGCCACCACCGCCCTGGTCATGTTCTTCAATCCCTGGTCCGTGGTGGTGCTCGCCGGCCTGGCCCTGGTCTGGTTCTACGCCTACCTCATACGGTCTGGCCCCTTTGTCTTCAACGGCCGCGAGATCTCCGATCGCGAAAAGTTTCTGGGCCTGTCGGTGGCGTCCCTGGTCGTCGTCTTCTTCCTCACCTCCGTCGGCGCCGTGCTCTTCTACGCACTTGGCCTCTCGGCGCTCGTGGTGGGACTGCATGGCGTGTACAAAGTGCCAGATGACCTCTTCCTCGACGACGTGCCAGAGGTGTGCGGGGCGGGGGCTGGTCTGGTGTGTGAGGCCTGGTGTGTTTGTATATGTGTGTGTCAAAGGAGGCCAGAAATCGGCCCAACGCCCCACAAACTCTCGTGCCCGTGTGAGCAAACGCCAGCCGCACCGCACAGCCGCTGCCTCCCTGGCCGTGGCCTGCCTCACAGATGTCCACCCAACTCCATGCCTGCAGACACAGGCGACAGGCCTGCTCTCCTTCTTCACGGGAGCCACCACTGGACCCCCACTCCGCCCCCCCTCCGTGGTCACAGCTGTTTAGAGGGGTTGTACCCATGTACTCTCGCAATTCCCTCATTGCTGTACCCTATCATGGCTTGTGCACTACAAGAATATTGCGAGGAGCAGCAAGTGGTGAAGAGGGAGGAGAGGGGCGTCAAGTATTCTACCAACACAGGACCATATGGGCCAGAGCTTCTGCATGAGACAGAAGCAGGCCTGCGGAGGCAACCAACTGTAAACCTGCCCGCTGCCAGACAACCCTACATCACAGCCTCGACCTCGCTTGGGTCGGGCCGTCCTCCCAGGAAGGCTGCGCAGTGTGGCGCCCGCAGGCGATCATGCGCGCTGGTCGGCACCCCCTCCGTGCCCCCTCGGCGTCCATCGCCCACAGGCGCAAGCCCGCCCCCTCGGGCCCGTGTTCGCTGACGCCACCGCTCATGCACAGCGCGGACAGCACGCCATGCCACGGCTCGAGCAGCCAGAAGGTCCAGTCGCCGTCAGGGCGGGCTGGGTCGGGGCGCAGGCTGATGTGCGCGGGGCTGCCGGCACGATCTTCAATCCCAAAGGCGAAGCTTCTCAGGCCCGAGGAGCCCGCGATGCCGGTGCCCCGCGCCTTGAGATACGCCTCCTTCAGCACCCAGAGGCGGATGAAGAGGGCCCTGCGCTCAGCCTCGCTCGTGCACCCTGGCGAGGGGAGGGCGGGGAAAGGGGCCCCCCGTTGCAATTGGCAACAACGTCGTGGCCCGCGTGGCAGCTGCTGGAGAAGGACAGAGCCCGCTTGAGCCCTGCGGCACGACGGCCAAACACACCGCCCGCACCTTGCATGGCCTCGGCTTCGAGGGGCGAGAATCTGCGTCGCGCAAAAGAAAGCGGGTCGTTGCGTGCCAGGCGGCCGCAGGCCTCCAGGTCCAGCCCCACCTCTCCGCCCTGCGCCACCGCCACTCCTGCGTCGGTTGAGGACGGTCGTGCGTGCATGCTGGAAGGAGAGTCTGCTGCACGTCAATTTGAATGCCGACCATGTGAGAGGTATCGGCTTCCTTCATGTGGGGATAACTTGCGACGCTTGGGCTGACACTGGACAATTATACCTTTCCAAACTCCTTCCGAAGAAGGTCATCGAGCGAGCAATGACAATGTACTCCCAACCAAACGCACCCATGGTGTGGACGGTGTTGCTGGCATTGAAGTGTAGGGCCGAGGGCTCGTGATGCCCATCTGGCGCGAGGCAGGGCTTGCCATGGGGTCCCCTGGCCAGCCTCAGCTCTCGCCCACTTGTGCAGTCTGGCAGGTAGAGGGCCAGGGTCTCTCGCAAGAGGCCACGGGAGACGATCCTCTGGTCCCGCACTGCCTGCTCTTGCGCTGTGCCGCAGGCTGTGAGCTCCGACGGGGGCAGCAAGGATGCATACCTCTCCACGACATACGTGTCCTGTATCTGCACATTGGAGAGGCGGGGGTGAATTCACGCTGGATCTGCAGGGGCAACAGGCTGGGAGGGCAATCGTTAACAGATTCATCCAGCCTCGACGACAAAATGGCAGCATTAGGTCCAGCATACACATACACGCTGCTCAGGTCTACATGCATGGCGCTTCTGACCTGGTCACAAGCTAGGAGGTGGACATGGGCACACCCGGGCGTCAGCAGGGAGTCCCATGCCTCATAGCACTCCGCAGCCCGACTTGCAGCGGCCCGGGCCTTCCAGACGCGTCCGCATGCCTGGCCCACGACCCTGCCGACCTCCACCTTCCGATTCAGAGTTCTGGGCAAGTGTTGATGGCTGAGTATGGTCGCATGGCGGGCAACGAGGAGAGGACGACCAGGCACAGTGGGGTGCAGAGAGCCTATTCTGTCGAGGTCAGAAGCCTGGTGGATTGAGACTCCTACTGTATCCAAGGGAAGTTGGTGAGATTGGGATCTATCGGATGTTTGAGACACTTTGAGTTTCGCACTCCAGGAGTGGAATGGCACTGGGCTTCTTCGCGCTCTCGAATGCGCAACGGGGTCCACGAGCACGTACGAGTCCCTGCAAGCTGCCCACATGGAGTCCATGCCTCCACACCATAATTCCTGCAAAGCATCTTACACGGGATTAGATACTCTTGCTTTAGGTACCTATATTGGGAGCGCACGCGCGTGTATCCCCCGATGGTGAAGGTGGTGCTCGAGTTCAGGTAGGATTCCTGGAGAGCGACATACCTCGCTCGTCCAGAGAGCAATGCGTCACGAATGCCAATGAACTCCAAAATCATGCAGTGGGGGCCTGGATCTTCTATTCGATAATCAGAAGTCTATCTCGGTCGACGTCCCAGCAGAGGACGGCAAAGAGGAGGTCCGTAGTGAAAAGGGCAAGATTACAATGAATATGATGCTGCTCCACACCACATACTACACATTAAAAGCCTCCTTGGGACCTGGCGAGGTTCTAGCTTCTGTCTGAGCGATTGCTGGGGCCCTTTTTGCATCTCATTATCCCATGTAGGTGACACTAAGTCGGGTGATCTTCTGGGCAAGGGACAATGTGCTGACATCGCGGCCAGAGCTCTTTGTGCAAGCATCATCTGTGTAAGTGAATTGGTGGAGATGGTGCTTGCAGACAGGCGGCACAGCTTCATCGTTGTCTGACACATACGTTGAGGCTTTGGCAATTGAAGTCAGCATACTGTCTGACACTGAATAGTATACGAAGACCCTTTCACAGCTTGCACCCAATCCATCTCCCAGGCGCCCCGGAATCCTTGTCCTTGTGAATGATGTCGACTGGGAACTCAGGTGGGTCAGAGATGTGCAACGGCTGCGTTCAGGCAGTCTCTCAGGTGCTGCTTCCTGTCCTTTCCCTCAACAGTGGCACGCCATTAGGACTACAATGCTGCAACACTGCAAGTCCAATCTCCCTCCCCCAACACAGTGGAACGTTGGACACAATAGTTGATCAAGGCGACCGGATAACGTTCATCTCCACCCTGCATGGAGGTTGATCTTTAACATCATTGTAAAATACCCTGACGTATGCTGCAGCATGCTGTCCGGGCTGTGCTGTCAATCAACAGCCTGCAATCTAATAACGGATAGGGTATCTTCACCAATTTTTCCTCGGAGGACAAAACGCGCCCCCCCGGGAAAATCTGTCATCGCGTGAAAAATCCGGGTAGGCCCTTCCCCAGCGCGGGCCATCACAAGGGCCCATGCATCGACACTGCCAGATTAGCAAGTAGCCGGCACCTTGGAGCAAATATTGAAGCCTCCCACCCCCACTGCACCCCGCCTCCTGACCGGAGGCTCCGCCCACCCCGCAGGGCGCGATGTCCAGTGTGATACAAGGCTTGCTTCCTCCCGCTCACCCCCACCACACGCCACGGCCCCCTCACAAGTACCACCGATAAGTTTCACCGACCCGGAGGCCTCGGCGGGACCCGCTGACAGCCCCGTGCCCGTGTCGACGCAGCACCCCCCGACCCACCGGCCGGCATGGCTGACCCCGGCGCCCTGATCGCCCTGATGAATCAGGTGGAGGCCCTGGCCGCCCGGGTGAAGGATCTGGAGTCCAAGCCCAGCAACGGCAACGGCATGGACTTCCTGCAGCGCCACGAGGGCCTGTCCCTGCGGCGCCCACCCTCCCTGCAGAGCCTGGCCGGCGCGGGGGGGCCCGGCATGCCGCGCGCGCCCTCCTACACCAACCTGTCCCATGTGGAGGTGCCCATGCCCTCCACGCGCGTGGTCATGACCCAGATCGTCTCCCCCGCCGACACCACGGGCGCCGGCATCTGCTCCGGCGGCACCGTCCTGTCCTGGATCGACGTGGCGGCGGGCCTGGCGGCCAAGACCCTGGCGCGCGCCCCCGTGGTCACCGCCAGCCTGGACACGGTGCACTTCCTGCGCCCCTGCCGCCTCCAGTCCATCGTCACCATCGCCGCCATGGTCAACCGCGTCTTCGCCTCCTCCATGGAGGTGGGCGTGCAGGTGGAGGAGGAGGACCTGTCCACCGGCTCGCGCCACCACTGCTGCTCCGCCTACCTCACCTTTGTCGCGCTGTCGCGGAGGGGGGGGGCGGGCGGCGGGGCTCCGCCTCAGAAGAAGCTGCCGCCCAAGGTCGTGCCCACCGACAGCTACTACCAGGGTGAGGAGGGGGGGAGGTGACCCGGGGGTTGGGTGTACAACCCCTTCTTCCTCCTCCTGGGGGTATGGCTGCTGCTTTGCATACCTGCTCTCACCTGCGTCAGTCTCGCAATCGTGTGCCCCTGCCGGCAGCAAGGGTGTCATCCACATTTTCAGACCGCCCCACTAATCCGAATCCTGTCCTCCCGTCTCCGTCACGCAGAGATCTTCGACGAGGCGGCTGCCAGGCGGGAGGCGCGCCTAGCGGACCGCGAGCGCCTGCGCTCCGACCCGGACGCGGCTGCGGCGGAGGCCGGCTGCCGACTGCTGCCCGTGGCCCACCGCCCCTCCCGCGCCACGCTGGAGGCGCCGCTGCCCAGCCTGGGCAGCGCGACCTGCCTGGGTGCTGGCGGGGAGGGCCCCGGTCCTGCCACCGAGGGCCCCGGCGCCGCCGAGGGCCCGGGGTCACAGAGGGGCGCAGCCCCCCCGGCGCGAGGTGCGTGGTACGCCCCGCGCGCACGGCGGCGCACATGACGCAGCTGATCATGCCGCAGCACGCCAACTCGCTGGGCATCGCCTTCGGCGGCGCGGTCATGCGCTGGATGGAGCAGTGCGCGTTCGTGGCGGCGGCGCGCGTCGCGCGCGGGGCCTACCTGCTCACCGCCTCCATGGACTCCATCGCATTTGCCGCGCCGACGCGGGTGGGGGACATCATGTACATCGAGGCCCAGGCCACCGCCATCTTCGGCTCCAGCGTGGAGGTCATGATCAGCGTCTGGGCCGAGACGCCCGAGGCGGGGGGCCTGTTCGAGTGCGGCGACGCCTACGCCACCGTGGTGTCCATGAACGAGTCCGGCGTGCCCCAGGACATCCCCTTCGAGCTGGCGCCGGACACGCCCGAGGACCACACGCGGCACGCGGGCGCCATCCGCCGCCGCCGCGACCGGCTGCAGATGCGGGAGGCCATGCGCCAGACCAAGCGCAAGCGGAAAGCGCTGGATGGTATGACTGACCGCTGGGGCTCCACCGACGACTTCCTCTCCCACGCGCTGCACGCTGGCAGCGGCAACGACAGCCCCGGGTCAGGCCCGGCCTCGCGCGCCCGAACCGAGCACGAGGCTGGTCCCGAAGGAGGTGAAGAGGAGGGCGGGGCGTGAGACCACCATGGCGTCGTCCTGTGGATGCTGCGTTTGGCAGACCGACGCCGCACTCCCCCCCCCCCCATTCCCCTTTGGGCAATCCCGCTCAGTATCAGACGCCCGCCTACCCGCTGCGCTTGCTTCTTCCCCCTTTCTTCCCCTGCCGCGCCCTTGCCTCCTGACATTCTTCATCGCCCCATGGTAGTGCCCCTCTGTAAGGCCGGCCATCTGTAGTGTCAACCTGGTAATATTGGCAGCCCATGCTCAGAACAGATGGGTTACAACAACATGAGGCCGCAGTCTGGAGGTCGAGCCACGATGTGCAAGGTTCAGCCGCGGCGCGTGCGCCGCTTCTGTGCGGTATCCGCCTCGTCCTTGCCCGCCTCGGAGCGCGTACTGCGCCGGGAGGCTGCCTTGGCGACGGCGCTCCCTGTCGCCGGCTGGGAAGCCGTGCCCCGGGTCGACCGCCGGCTCTGCGCCGGGCTGGCTACCTGCTTACCCTCCACCACGGCAGCAGGCTCCCGCCGACGCCCCGCCCCGGGGCCGCGCTTCTTCTCAGGACTCTGCCAGGCAGGCAGGGGGGCATGTGGATTGTCGAGGTCGGCAAAAATCCTCCCCGCAATACCGCCACTGTGGCTGGGCTGATGCACAGGATGTCAATATGTCGAACCCACCTGGTTCCATACCCATCAATATTGGGGCACCTCCCTTCCCACCTGTGCTGGAGCGGAGGTGCGTGCAGAGGCTCCACGCTTCTTTCCCTTGGGAGCGACCTCGTCCTCCTGACCACTCTTTGTCGGCTTGGCCCCTCCCTTGCCGCCGGTGCCCATCGCCTTGTTCTCGTCCCTGCGACTGCTCCTCGTCGCCTTGGCTTCCTCCTTCCCACTGCTCCTTGCCGACACTACCTCAGCCTTGTGACTGCTCCTCGTCGGCTTGGCCCCCCTCTTCTGCTCACTCACGGTAGGCTCGGCCTCGCCCCTGCCCCTCCGCCCCGCTGGCTTCGCCTCCTCACGCCTCCTCGCCCTTGCGGGCGTGCTCCGCGCTCCCTTCGCCTCCTCCTCCGCCACCTCGGCCGCGCTGCACTCGCCGCAGAACCAGTCGCCCGAGGGCACCGCCTGCAGGCGCGGGCGCGCGCAGGCCAGGTGGCACGCCGCGTCGCATGCGTCGCAGAGCAGCAGGACGTCGCCCTCCTGGCTGCTGCCGCAGACCGCGCAAAACTCCCCGGCCTCCGAGCCTGAGTTGGCCGCGGGATCGGGTCCCTGCTCTGCCGACTCTCGTGGGGGAGCAGGCGCCGCGCTGGTGGCCTCCCCAACCGCAACAGTAGCCTCCTCCATGGTCGCGACCGTGGCCTCCGCCTGCACAGCAGCCACCTCGTCGTCGACCTCCGCAGGAACCCCAGCTCCACCGGCAGGCTCCTCGGCCCCCGACACGTCCCCGCCCAGCTCCGCCAGGCGGGAGGAAAGCGAGGCGTAGAACAGGGCGTCCTCTTCGCCGTGCAGCCACTCGGGCACCGCGACGCCCGCCAGCGAGCGACGCGCGCTGCTCGCACCGCGGCGCCAGACGGTGGAGGGGCCCGCAGAGGCGGGCGGCGCTCCCTGCGTGGGCCGCAACACCACCACCGTCGAGGGCGGGGCGGGGGGGGCATCCGCGGGGCCGGTCGCGGGCCTGCAGACGCGCGCTGCGCCGGGCAGGGTGCGGACGGTGGGCGTCGTGGCCGAGGGAACTCCAAGTGGCGGACTGGTCCGCACCACCCTCACCGCTCCTGCCAGGACAGTGTGCGAGGGTTCCGGCACAGCTGTGCTGCCCACCACCACCACCTGGTGGGGGTTGGGAAGGGGAATCGATCGTGGGTTGGTATTCGCAAGCAGTTCAAGAAGAGAGTTTTCTGCATGCGCACGATGCATGCCCTCTGACAGAAAAGCAACGTCCGCTCCGAGCTGTCGCCCGTGGCAGGCGGCGTGACACCTGAAGACACCTGAACCTCGCCCAGTCTGATCCATCAATCCAGGTGCCCGTCCTGGACCATCCATGCAACCCCTCTCACCCCCTGTCTCACCCGCTGCTGCTGTGCTGCTGGGGGGTCCACCTCCTGTGCCTCAGCGACCCCTGGCTCTGAGCCCTCATCCGCAACCACCTCATCCATGGCCTCGTCCTCGTCACCAGCCGTTGCCGCTCCCACCTCGGCCGCCAGCGCAGCACGCACCACGGCCTCGAGCTGCAGCCGGCGGCTGCGCTCCCTGAGCAGCGCGCTCTCCAGCGCCCGGGCCGTCTGCATGGGAGGAAAGCGCGGCCGGAGAGTGAGGCGCCACGGGGCTGGGGAGACCCGATCTGTTTGGGGGCGGGGGCGGCTCCCGGCCACGAAAAGGGCCCACAGGTGCGAAAAGATCACCGCCATTACTGCCCAAGACATCCACTCGCCAGGCCGACGCATCTGTCCTCTCCCCTCCCGGGCGCACCTTCCTGAAGCGCTCAGCGCGCGCGTTCGCGGCGCGGGTGGCGCCCTCGGCCTGCCTCAGCTGCCACTCCAAAGCCCGCACCAGGGGGGCCAGCAGCGGCGAGGGTTGTGCGGCGGCCTCCTCCGCCTGGGCGGCGGGCTGTGCGGCCGCGGCCGGCCCGCGTGCGGCGGGGGAGTCGACGATGATGACCCTGCCGGACCCTCGCCGAGTGGACCGAGCCTGCGTCGATCGGGCGACCGACGTCGCAGCGCTCGACTCGCCCTTTGGCGTCGAGGCGGCCGTCGCTGCCACGGTGGCGGGCGGGGAACCCTGGCCCTCTCCCATCTGCTGCACGCTCATGACCTCCTCGGTGACGTCCAACGCCCTCTGCATTGAAGTGTTGCAGTGGAGTGGATGCCAGAGTTCAAGCACTGTAGGCAACGAGAGTGGGACGACAAGCGCCAGTGCAAGGCAGGCTGGGACTGAGTGCACACCCCTTCCTTCCAATAGGCTTGCATGCCACACCCCTCCTGTCTCAGAGTCCCCCCTCAGGCTGCCCCCCAGGCACACCTGTGCGACTCCCAGAGACAGGCGGCTGCGGGCGCGGGCCGTGCTGGGCTGCGCGGCGTGGGAGGTGACCGTCGCCGGCAGGGGGGTGATGGTCAGGGCGTAGGCCTGCCCCTGCACACCCGTGCGAGGCGTCAGCAGGCTCTGCACGGGGTATGGCATTTGCTTTCTGGGTTTGCATGTGTGTGGGGGGGCAATGCACATGATCCAGGGGGGTGCTGGTTGCCCCTTGCCTCCCTGATGCAGCCACCCACCGGGGCACAGGCAGAGCCAGTACCACGCTCAGCATGGCAGGGCTCCACCGACCTCCCTCCCCACGCAAACCTCCCCAACCCACCGCCGGCATGTGCACCGTCACGTCCCCGCTGCCGATCACCCCGGCCAGGGCTTCTGCCACGGCCGCAGCGTCCAGCCTGCCTCCGGAGCGTGCCGCGGTCCCGGGCGCCCGGCCCGTGGCGGGCGTGGGGGCCGGCGCTTGGAGCCCCCCTGGCATGACTGCCGCCGGCGTCGCGGCGGCCGGCTGCACGACGGACGACCTTGCCGGCGTCGCGGCGGCCGGCTGCACGACGGACGACCTTGCCGGCGTCGCGGCGGCCGGCTGCACGACGGACGACCTTCCCGGCGTCGCATCGCCTGCTGTCAGGGGTGATCCGCTGGCGGCCCTCAGGGGCGTGGGCGTGCCGAAGGAGAAGCGGGACCCCGGCGTGGGCAGGGTGCCGGGGAGCAAGCGCCGGAGCTGCGTCGCGGGGGTCTGTGAGGGGGCCCCTGAGGTCCAGATCGGGTCGCTCGGAGAGAGCACGGACGCCGGATCGGCGACCGTGCCGGTTTCGTTGTTGCCTGAGCTGGCCGAGGCTGGGAAGGTAAGGGCTAGCAGGGCCTCGCCCGGCTGATTGCCGGCGGCGGTCAGGGCGCCGGGTGGAACCCGACCCTCACCAGCTTCAGGCTGGCCGTCCTCGAAGGCAGGCAGGCCCTCCTCAGAGCCATCACCTCCAGCAGCGCCCGCCTCGACCACCGAGCGGCCAGCCCCCGCACCGCGCCCCTCGGCCGGCATGCTGCCCAGGCCCCACTCGGAGAACGCCAGGGTGTCGAGGGCGCCGTCCACATCCACGGCCCGGACCAGCCCCCCCCGGCGCAGGTGCAGCGTAATGGTGACGTCGGCAGGGGCGCCCTCCGGCGTCCCTCCGGCCTCCGCCTGGAAGCGCACGCTCTTGCGCCGGACCGTGGACTTGGGCGTCTTCCTCCCCGTCTTCAGCGTCATGAGCGGGGAACTGGCGGCGCCGGGCTGGCGCGGCGACTTCAGTCCCGCATCTCGGGTACCTTGAGCTGGCACGGCGGGCTCCGCGCCGGGCGCCGTCTCTGGCAAGAGCGCCGGCGGGCCGGCGTCGCTCGCTGCCTGGACGTCCGCCTGTGCGGACCCAGCAGCTTTCCTCAGCCCTGCATAAAGAGGGCCGGGGACCAGGGACGTCGGTTCAGAGAATTCCGCAAATCACTCTAGCAAAGTCCAGAACACACTCATGTCCTCGTGCTGCTCGCGAGTCAAGAGGCTGCCAAATGCCCGGCAGACCCCCAACCAGAGCCCCCCCCTTCCCCCCCTCCCCACCCCCCGCCCGAGCACCCAGTGGCACTCACCGGCCTTGAGTGCGACCAGGTCTGCGGCGCTGGGAACGAAGCGTGCAGGGCCCGGGGCTGGCCTCGGCGCTGGGGGTTGGCCAGCGCCGGGGGCAGGTGCCGGCGCGTCGCTGGAGGCTGGCCCGGTCAAAGTGCTGGGCGCCGTCAGACCCAGGGCCGCTCTGCCCAGTGTGCGGCTGGATGGGAGGGGGGGTGGAGGCGGGGGCGGCGCCCCGGCACCCCTTCGCTTGGCGGGGCCTGGGCCCCTGCCTGGGGAGGCCGGCGCCACGTCCTCCTTTCCTGAAGGGCCCAAAGAGGCGCGGGTGCGCTTGCGGGCTGACGCAGGCTTGGGACTGGCCCGGGCGGCTTGGGGCACGGCGCGGTTGGCCTGCTGCAGGGCCCGCGTGGGTGCCTGCACCTTGATGGTCTCTTCGTCGCCCTGGAAGAAGAAGGTGCGGGTGCGGTCATCCAGCCGCACCTCAATCCTATCGCCGGAGAACAGCTCCTGAGGGCTGGTCACCGGCTGGGAGTTCAGGCACACCGGGTCCTGCCCCAGGCTGTTGATGAACACCTGCGGCAAGGGGTGGAGGGGCAGGCGGTTCACTCTGTCGGTTCGCAGCCTTGAAAGGAAGGCTGTGCTGCTGGGTGGGACCCTCCACCGCTCCCGGCCCAAGGGAGCCAGTGAGTGCCACTCAGTGGCATCAAAAACGGTCCATTGAGAAGCTTGCAGCGCATTCCAGCCCCTTCTTAGTCAGCTCCCTTCCCACTCACCGCCCCGGCATCGTCTACAAAGACCTCGGCATGCTTCCTCGAGATGGTGCGGTTCCGAATCCAGATATCACAGGACTGATCCCTGCGCGTCACCGAAAGGGGTAAATTACTGTTGTTTCTTACTACATTGACAACGGAGTACGTGTTCCACCACACGGACGAGCATCGTACCTTCCAATGAGAACGAGTTTCTTGTCCAGAGGGAACTCGACTTCCGGAGCACCCTCCCGTCCCACGATGAGCAACCGCCCGTAGGATATCGACATGCTACAACGCTCTAGGTATTCGGCATAAAGTGCTTCTACGGACGTCCGAAACGATCGAGCCGTTGTCCTTCCACGCCGGTAGGTCATCCATTCGTGACAGCTCAGTGTTATTTTTTCATCATCAGCAGCATCGGTCTTCCCGCGCTTTGCTCACAGACTTGAGCTCTCAAACTTCAGACTTTCTGGCGTTACCAAGCGCGGCAGAAAAGTGGAGGCAAGATGGTTTGAGAAACCCTTAGTACAAATTTCGAAAAAGAATGGCCGACAAGAGTGCGGCACGGTCATTCCGCGCCAGTGAACCTGCCTGGGCAGGCTTGTGCACCCAGAGGGTGGGCGGGTGGGGTGGCATGGGTGCAGGTGGGGGAGAACAGCAGTGACAGCCGCTCTGGCTTGAAGGGGTGGCAGAAACCAAGGTAAAAGATACAGGAAGCATATGGAGTGGTGGAGGATGGTCCACAAAAGCTGTGGCTTTTGAGCCAATCCAAACCACGCCCAAACAGCAAAACAAGGGCTGCGCTTGCGTCGCAAGCCCGGGCCCCTCACTGCGCAGTGCGTGACGCGGTCATCAGGTCTTGGAGGACGGACCGGAAGCGCCGACCCAGCGCTGCCATTCGCCTGCGCCGCACGGGCACGGCCACCTCGGCCCCAGGGCTGCCCAGCGCCATGGGGGATGACCCCAGGCTCGACCCAGCAGACTGCACAGACGCTGCAAGTTGCATGACGGGAGTGGGAAGGGCCTTGGTGGCGGTGGGGTTGGGAGCAGAGTTGTCCACATGCAAGGGCCCCGCAAGACCATGCGCGACGACTGATCCCGTCTCTTGCAGCCGCCTTTCTCCTTCACCCCCTGTCCAAGGCAGTGCCCAGGCATGATGGTGAGCCCTCACCTGAGCCTTCGGAAGGGCAGGAGCTGGCGATGCGGCGTGCCGCCGAGATGGAGGCGCAGTGCACCGCAGCGTCGTACGCCCCCGGTCCATGCAGCGTCAGGAGGCTGCCTGCATCTGCTCCTCGACGAGGAAAGGGACCTCCAGTCAGCAGAGCGACGATCAATTTCGACATGCATGGGGCAAGGGGATATGATAGACGCAGTGCCCCCGCCACTGCCAAACCTCACGTGCATCCATCCCGCCAAACAATAAACACCTCGTTCCCGGCTGCAGCCCCCGCATCACACATGACCACCCTCCGTCACATCCACGCGCCTGACGTGGGCTCGTCGCAGGTGAAGGTGATGTTGAGGTCGCTGTCGTCCGGCAGGTTGAAGGCGCGGCGGATGGACTCTGTGAATTCAGAGTACCCCGCCATGCCGGCCTGAACCTCAAAGCTGTAGGTGCGGCCGTCAAAGTTCACGTTCATGACGGCGGGGGCGGAGAGGTCGGGGAGGGGGGTCAGCACCGCCTTCCAGTCCGGGAGCTGGCTGTTGCAGAAGTCGCAGTGGGTCTCGCGCCGCGAGCCCGCAGATTGCAGCTGCCACCGGGCCAGGCAGCGGCTGTGCGCATGCCTGTGTGGCGGCGGGGCACGACGGGCTTGTTGGGTGATGGTGGATGGCCTGGAGGGCATGTCAAACCCTGCCTGCTGCCAGCCAGGGCAATGGACAGCAAGGGCTGATGAGGCTTCCTTCCTTAAGGCTGCACACAGGTGGTAGCACACAAACCCCCCACCACCCCACCGTGGGCATTTGCAGGGTAGAATGAGAGTGCCCGAGTTCTCCAAGCAAATCCAGCACACCCGCTCCTGCGGGTCGATGGGCAGGGGAGTGGGCGGAGGCCCCAGGGGCAAGAGCCCCTCCGGCAACCAGCAGGGTCGCACTGCAGCCTGGCAATCGACTCAGTCCGGGTATGGGCACTCCCAAGCACATGCCTAGCCATCCTGATTGCAGGCCGGTGAAACGAGAGCCGCGCGACCCGACTTCTACCACCTGCCACCTCGTTGCCGTCCCCGTAAGGGCATCCGTACCTCTTCGCTAAGGGCCTGCGAGGTGTCGTGGAGCGCTCCCGAGGCATTCATGCATAGACCGCTGCTTTCGCGGGACACCTTGACATCCATGGCCGGGCCAAATGGAGATGGGTTCACGAGGTGCCGTAGTGCCTGTGCACAGCGAGGTCGAGGCACCAAAGCCAACTCCGGGGAGGATTCGCTGCGGAGTAGCCGACAAAAGAATGCAAACAGGTCGGCGGAGGATGCGATGTCCAGGCTGGGGTCGAGTATCAGTTTGAGAGTATCTCCGCAAAAGAATTTTTGGTGTCGATCCGTCGACCCTGGCGGGGGTGTGAAGCGCTCTACTGTAAATGCTCGTTCACCTAGAATAGAACTGTAATCTTTGGACCTAGAGCGAGCACATCTCCACCTCGAGGTACGGTTATCTTGGAGGCAGCCTCATAGGCGGCTTCTTAAGAGTTTGCCAGGAGAATGTATTGCTCCCTCACAAGTAGGGGGCGCCCGGCAGTCCACATTCCCATCTCCATGTGCAAGTCGTTCACCATGCACCTGACATCTGCACATGCCGTCTAGCGTGTGTCAAGGACGGGAAATCTTGGAGGCAGGTTTGGGAGATGCAGTTCCTTGGACTTTGGGTGCACACTCCCTGGGTGCAGGACAACGCTACCCCTTGAAGTGACTGGTGCGGATGAAGTTGAGACTAAGATGCAATCGACCTTGGACATTTGCTTCCTGCTGGTGGGCACTCTAACTGAGAGCCCACCTAGCAGTAAACTCGTCGAGGTCTTGCACTCACAGGAGTTTCGGATTAATGATCACAGGTGAGGGGAGCATGTGAGGTCAACGCCTTCCCTTACACAGAGGAGAAAAAATTCATCAGAACCCCAGAGCGAGCAGGAATGTCTTTGAATGCGGCAAGTAAAGGCTACAGGTCCTAAAGTCAGACCTTTGCCCCTTATCTGAAGTGGCCATGTTCACCCCTCAAACTCATGGCACTGGGAGGGGACAACTCGGCTTTGAGTATAAGGGACGCTGATGGGAAGCTCAACGTCATTCGCTGCAAGATTGTGCACAGACTGTCGCGTCCCCCATGGCAGTTGTCCTTGACATAAAGCTTCCTGTCCATTACAAGGGCAAGCTGGCGCCGGAACCTCTCGTGGTGACCGCGACGAGCCGTACGTGACCCTACTCCACACATGAAATAGCGTTACATCCCTGCTATCTGCGCCCAGTACGGTTGCTGAAGACGTCAAAACGATAGAACTGACAATTTTTTCGTTGCTGTGTGGCTCCCACCTGGCCCAAGGAGGCACCGGTAGGTGCGATCACCACACAGCCACTCGCTGGCGCCTCGCCAGCTTTAGGACGAGGGCGACATGGGCGCCCTCCACGGCCTCCGGCTGACATGCACGGCCGGATACGCGGATGTTGCAGCGCGGCCGGCTGCCGTCAGCCCCTGCCGAGTGGACCGGCTGCAGACCGTCAAAGCTGAGCTGGCACACTGCCGCTCTTTCCCTCCCCTCCTGCTCCCCAGCCACGCCTCCCCTGGGCACATCCCCGGCAGGGACCCCCAACCCTCCCCTGCATCCAATGCAGTGCCCTTCCCAGGCCCGGCAGACATGCCCAGCCTCCCGGGGCCCCTGCCGAGGGCTGACGCCATTCGCCAGCTCCTGCCCTGGCTCTTCCTGGCCGCTGGGAGACCAGGTGGGGAGTGGGGCCGGCCATGTACGGGACGGAGGGACATGAATGGGTAGTGCTCAGGGGAGCATGAATGGCTGGCGGTCGGTATGCATAGAGCCAGGGCCAGCCGGTATGTGCCTGTCGCCTCCTCGTGTAGGTGCGCCCACTGCGCCCCCCCCCCTTTCCCCACACCCTTCCTCCACAGACGACCGGGGCCTGGAGGCCTTGGCCACCCAGCACGCGCTGAGTACGCTGCGCACCCTGGACCTCTCGCGCTTCGCGGAGGGCTCCGTCAGCGGCCTTCCCCCGCACGTGCGCTGGGTGGGGTCGGACAAGGCGCCCTGCCCGACCATCGCGGCCTCCGCCGCGCTGGCCCGGCTGGCCGTGCGGGCTGAGCTTGGGAGAAAGCGCGGGCACGACGCGCGGGGCCCGGATTCGGCCGGCCCCACCGACGCGGTGCTGGCGATGCACCACCCGCGCCACGCCCCCTTTGTGTCGGAGGCCCTCTGGCTGGTGCTGCAGTACCACTGGGGCATGCCAGCCCCGGAGGCCATAGAGGTGACCGCCTGTCGAATGCCCTGGGCTGGTAAAAGCACGTGTCGGCACCGCGGCTTGGTATGCGCCAGCCCTGCCTCGCACACCACCCGCTCCAGCACATGCACGGTATGT